TTGTGACTATAAAAATTAAACACATAATTTATCAGCCAGATTTCAATTAAATCTCACAGAATACAGCCACAATAAACAGATATTTGAACAAAATCAGATATGGGTAAAGTTCTTTGATTTTCTTTCTTTGTAGCATTAATTTCCAGGGTTAAAATCCAAGATCATAATAATTAATAAAGCAAATATGGTTATATTTTATAGAATAATCTGGTTATGCGTTTAATGTGCTCATGAGTACCAACTATTAACCATTGGACAATTATTTTTATAATGCAAAGCTTTCCTAAACCGAATCAGTGCAGGTAATTTTAGTAACCTTTGTGTTTTCTGAAGATGCTAGCATCATTATCTCTTTACTATGACCCACAGAATATTCTTAGAAAGCAATAATCTATTTAACGAACAAAAATCACTTCTTGGGACAATATACTTATGACAGGTGCATAGTCACCATATGGGCGTAATAAAAGCCCTTACATACCTAACCCAATAAGACACAGACACTGAGGTATATGGGTCAATATTGGCCACAGCTTTTATTGATAATATCTGTAAAAATTAATATTGAAAAAGTCATTGCCCCAACCCCACCATACCTCATCCGTATCCCCCACTGTTATATATAAAAATGCAATGACCCATATATAAACACATAGACACATAATAATATTTTCATCATGAACATAAATTAAAGTGGCAACGTTTTAATTAACCATGGTAGGGGTATACCAGGTTCTGAGTCACCGACAACTTCGAAACCTACCAAACTTACCATGAACCATGTTAACCATTTCCAAAACCATCATACAGAAGAGCCTATTTTCTTATCATTCAGCTCACTATCCCGCTGCTGTGACAGAACGGGACAACATAACAAACTTAACCGAGGGAGGGAGGGACAAACTCAGCCAGGAAGGCAAGTTAGAATTGAATTTTCTAAGATGGCTGCCTATTGATATAGCTCAGTCCCTAACATTTAACCATCCAATCCCTACATACCTTCTGCCTTTGCCCGCCTCCTAGCCCTGTCAAGGCCCCTTTCCACTAAGCTGTGCTTTTGTTTTATGGGGCTAAAAGATGTGAAAATATATTTTTAAACTATAGTTGTTATATATAGTTAATTGTTGTATTAATACAACCTCAATATTAATCTCAACCTCTCAATGGTTTGTGACACCAATGAGTGAGATAACATTCCTGATTACCATGGACATCTCCACAATATCAGAGACAGAAATGAAATGCTGTATATCACATGGGTAGCCTTATCCTTAAGATAAACCATATACCCAGACATTTTTATTACAAGCCTGATAATATCCAATCATCAAAAAATACATCATAATCAACTAAGCTCAATCTGTACTATAAGCGTATGGAGTAGTCCGTACTCCATATTTATTGGGTCAGACACGTGCTGAGGGCAATGTTGTGACTTGTGCAAAGATCACCAACAATTGGAGTGTGCTGCATATTCTGTTTTATGATAGAGAAAATGAGACTGAGCCCACTGAAAAATAAATGTGGATAGCTGGCATTGTTGGCGCTGCCATGCTTCAACTAACAAAGAAAAGATTTAAGACACAATGAGCAAACACATCATGCTTCAACTAAAGAAGAATCGTTTAAGACACAATGAGCAAACACATCAAGGTCAACAATGTTATTTTATAACATCTCAAATGAGTTAAAGAAATTACACTATGACACTTTGTAGCAGGAAAGCAAGTGGACCCATTTCAATAAATATTCTGTTATTTTCATCTGAATATATGTACTTAAGTGGAAAAAAAATATTAAAATCTTAATTTGTTTTTGAGAGTGCTTATCTGAAAGATAAATGGAAAGATTATTATATAATGGTGTCTTGAATGAATGTTTTACTAAAATTTCAAAATTTCCATTCAAATGAAAATTAAAAAAATAATAATCTTATTATTTTTAGATGTCCTTCTCTAAAATGTCATATGCGGTTAAGTTAAAAGAATCCCTTTAAGAAAGAACTTTTTATTTATTTTATTATAAATTCTGTCACTTTTACCAATATCCTCAGTTCTTTGAAACTTGGGAAAAAAAAGACATTATGCTTATTGATCATGTGTCATCAAAAGACATGTTTTCTAATACAGACAATCCCCAGGATACTAAATACGACACATCATAACATTGCAGTAATAATATATAACTCATAAATAGCAACAATATTACTGGTATACATCTATATTATCTTTCTTGCATGTGAGCATGAGCATAAGATATATATTATTACATAGATGGACATCAATCTTTCTATCTACTTCTATTATATTTTTTTTATTTTTTTTATTCATGTAGAACACTAATTTCTGTTGTACGTTATTTCAAACATATACTATGCATATTGCAGGCTTGCTTTAGTTGCCAGTAATAGGTCATGGTTGGGCTTTGGTGATGTTATGTTTTAAAGCGACTTTGACAGTGTAAATTATCAATTTTTGATCATTACAAATTGGCTTCTACCACGAATCTTCCACTGAAATACCAAAACGATTATTGGTTGAAATATTTTTGGGGGTTTAGCTACCTCAAATGGCCCACTTCACCTGTATAGTATCCATCATGCTAATTATTTTTAACTTTGTTTTTTGGGGAAGGGTTGATGTAACCCAATACACTAGTTCTATTCTTATATTTAACATATTACTTGTGACTGCTCTTTTCTTGTATAAGCCATTGGCATTAAGGCCACTAATAAGACTTTTTATCTCACTGATTACACTTAGGTTCCACCACATGTTACCATTACCCATCTATGGCAAGTTAACATGTTGTAGATAACGCTCAAATTCCCAAGTTTCCTCTATGTTTATCATTGAGCGGAATCTCTCCATTTTGTTTCTCAGAAAGTGAATTCTACATCACCCTTGTTATCTGTCTGTCTATAGAGAAAAATATAAGTCATGAATTATAGCAAAGTAACTCTACTGAAAACTAATGGACCAGTGTATGTATCGAGCAAAAATCCAATGGTATACGCAGACTCCATGAAAACACCTGTTACATCATTTTGATACAGGATGAATGAGATTCAATCTTCTTGATCCTTAATATTTTGCCAGCACAATGTACAGATTGAGACCATACCTATCTTTAATCATTTAAATCTAAATCTATCAAATCTATCGATCTATCTATAGATCTATCTACATCTGGCTGAAAGTCTCTTTGTCAACTGTCCCTGCCAAATGTCACCCAATCTTTTTCATTTTCAGTTGTCACGTTGATTTAGTAACACAAATATAAATGTATTAAAATACTTTTTAGTGATATCAACTTAGTAGTGAAGAAATAATAGTCTTTGGTGTTTAACTTGTACACAGTTACCATTTGATTAAAATTTTCCTTTTATATAATCATGACTCCAAGCTGATCAAATGTGAGTTTATTACATGTCAATGTTAATCACATTTTTATCCATTGATCGTACACTAATTAGTATTTTCTTAAGCCCCTAAACTTTTTGGAAATAGTATAAATAGTATTGAACAAAATCTTCTCCGAAATTGTATTTTTCCTCCAAACAAAGCTTAGTATGCCCTGACAATACATTTATACTCAGTAATATTACATAGTAATACCATATATATAGTATATATTTTTTCTGGTATTAACTAAACATACGGTAGTTAACATATTTATAAATTAGGTTTGCAGCAACTTATTTTATATTTAACCCTGTACAATCAGCAGAATGCTATAAGATACATATACCTTCTAAGATATTTCTGAACTTGTCACTGGTACAGCTACTTTGAACCAAGATATATAGAGTGCAGAACTTAGAGCCTTTACACATTCTGTCCTCGATATTGTGCATTGAGATATTTGCTAATTGGTGCAAGAATTTACTCATCTGGCAATGTCTGCTCCCAAATCCCATTACATTCCCATTTGTCTATTATTGGTTTGCTCCATTAGTTATCTATACAAGCAAGAAATTGTTCCTTTCCCAAAGTGTGCATTTAACAAAGCTCTGTCAGGCTGGAGTATTTCCCCTGTGATATGTTTACCCATATATAGAAAAGTAGATGTACAATTTAAAGTTATCCAGTACAATTGTAGAGAACTGTTGAAAAAACAATTTTTTTTTAGAAATGTGATTTTTGTACTTATTTGCAGGCATAAATTAAACAAAATGGTGTCCATCACTATAGCAATAAGAAAATAAGTATTTTCAAACATCTGAAATAAAAACTTGAGAAAACAAAAAAAGACCTCATGAGAAAGGACAGCTAGAATTGAAGAATTTAATTAAACAACTTAGCACCTAATCATTAAGTAAATAATGTGTGTTAGGCACTCCTAAGCAAATTCCAAATTTTGGTTCTGTGTTAGAAGGTGGGGATGGCTTGCAAAAGACACATAAGTGTCTAAAGGTTACCTTTTCAGTTTGATGGCTGAATAAACCACCTGAATTTATGGCTGAGTCATTTTTTGTCAACCTAGAACCTACATCAAAATCTAATTTCGTCATTTAGAATTGAATGTATGAGATACAGTACAGAGTATCCATCATCTGTGTGCTACATGTTTAGGGAATACTAGTAACAGAATCTTCACATACTTTTCACAGTTTTTCTGGTCGTGCCAATCCAATGCTATTAGGTACACCTAAAAGTTACATGCCCTGCAAGCCCGGAGGTTCCATGACACATTCTACAGGAGCGAATTTCTACTAAACAAGGCTGAAATTTCACTAGTGGTCAAGTGGAAATGCCATCTCCTAGTGTATATTACCTACAACAGTGGTTCTAAACCGAGTCTTCAAAACACATAAACAGTCCAGGTTTTGTTGGTACCCTCACAGGAACAGAACTGAGAAATGAGTAGATCCTGAACTGTTGGTGTTCCTCGAGAACTGAGTTGAGGACCACTGAAATTGAACACAATATATATTCAATCTGCTGTCATGTCTTTGAGATTGTTGTATGTAGCCCCCTGTACTAAACAAACAACTCTATATGTTGCAAGTTGTAGTTAGTAACATGTGGGATTTTTTCACAGCTCGAGATGTGGTCCACAGTTTGCACACTCGTGAACTGGCCAGTACTTCTGATTTCAGCTGGATTTCACAACTGAGATATTACTGGGAAGATAAAAAGGTTGTTGTACGCATGGTCACCACAACAGTGCTCTACGGATATGAATACTTGGGCAATTCAGGAAGACTTGTCCTCACTCCACTTACTGACCGCTGCTTCAGGTATATATTTTTCTATTGTGTAATATTTAAATTTGTGCAGGGTGCAAAATCTTGGTCCTTCCGAAACACTTTTGCAGAAAAGAAAATTGGGATGTGCAAAATGTATGCCATGCCACTGTTCGGCAGCCAAATTTTGGTACCGAATTTTGGGATGGCATTTTAGATAGCCAGAACAACAGGAAAAATGCTGACTATGTTGACATCAAAAACAGCTGCAATATTGCCTGGCATAATAGCTATGTTATACCAGGCAGTTTTGCTATGCCAATTCTGAGTTGCCAGAATTAGATTGTTATATATTTGGATTAGAAAGAAAATCTAAGAAGTGCGAGAACTTGTGATGATTGATTGTAATCTTTTTCCCTTTTGCTATCTTGTATGAATGAAAAATGGGGAAAAGGAGTCATTTCACGTTCAAACTGAGGTATCCAAAAATGAAAGTTAAATGCCAGAGGGTAATCTACAAACCATTCACCCTTCCACCCTGACAAGAACAAATCTTTCCCACACATCCAGTCTATAGCACCAGTAAACATGAAATTACTCTTTCTCCCCATTTTTATTAATAAAAGATAGAAAAAGGAAAATGATTACAATCAGTCATTTTAAACAGAGTTCTCTCACTTCCAATTTTTATTTTATAGATTATAGTCAAATTTGGCTGCCATTGCATAACTACTAGGCTAAGCAATATTGTAGCCATTTCTGCATGTCAGTGTTGTCATAGGCAGCAATTTTCCTACTATTCTGCTGTCTGAATGACACTTTGTAATATTTGTCATTTCTGAAATTTGGCAATCTGAACAGCACTGGACTAAATTGTATGGATCCTTTTGAATTTTTTTCTGCCAAAGTATTTCGGAATGAACATTTTTTTTCCGCTCAAGTCAACTGTATATGTATCTATGAGATTGGGCGTGTGCATATTTGTGTCTCCTAGTGGATGTTGCGGAATCTGGATAATGGTTTTGCAAGAGGCATACGAGTTCGGATGGCATATCTTTGTACTTATAGGAAAACGAAAATTGTCCAACATACCGCATACAGTTTTATGCTAATCATATGAATAAAATGCAAAGATAATAGAAAGATAATAGATAAAGATTTAAGATAGTTAAACACATATAGCTATGTAGATGCAGGGGGTGTAATTGATATATACATGCATCATACAGGTCAAGTTAATTTTTATTAAGAAGAATAAGCAAGGTCTTCCATTTTTCATTTGCTCTCTCCTATTTTCTGATGGGTTCATAAAAGAAAGATTAAGGCAAAATGCCTATTTTTATTCCAAAATGATTAATTGTGAATTACATTGCATCAAGACATCATAAACCCAACACAATCTTCGTAACTTTGTTAGAATTATAGTACATTCACATATTGCCAAATATCTGAACAAATTGTATGATATTCAAGTACTCCCTGACCTTGGCCATAGAATTTTGCCTGCATCGTAGGTTTCCAAGTCTGTCTGGGTGTTACAAGCATCCTAAAATATGCATAGCCACTCTGTTTCATAGCAACCACAAAAAAGGAACTTTGTTTAATATAAATACCTTCCAAGGAACACATTTGCTTGTACAAAGTGAGCATAATGATTCACCATAGGAACTTTCGAAAAATTCCCTCCTGCTAGATAACATTTTCTTTAATGTCTTTTGGTGTCTTGTTGAAATAATGTCATCCTGCCTTTTCCAGACAGCAATTAATGTAGCTATGTATACGAAGACAGCAAGTTTATGTGTGATTTGTTGTTTCTGGCAAAGTTAATACATTTAAAGTAGTTTCAAAATTACAAAACAAGAGTGATTCAAATACCACCTGTCTTTTATTGTTGAACAGCTATTTATTCACCATTATTTTTTTTTAACATGGTACACTGTGACCTTTATATAAACAGGAATAAAAATGTTTGATGCCATCACAACATTAACCAATGGGTTATCTAAAAACAAATGTAAGAAAGATGAAAGACATACAGTATTTCTCAAAGTAAATACAACCTGGGTTTTAATTGGCAGGCGGTAATGTTTTTTTGTTTTTGTAAGCACATAAAGTTTGCTCTACTCCATCCCAACCCATTTTCCTTGCTGTACATTACCGAAAGCAGTGAGTCTTTCAATACCCAACAACGAGGACAATTACAATTCTTTAGTTGCCCTGTCAAACTGTAGTTTTTACTACTTAAATCACTGCAATATCTTATCCAATCAATACATTATTATTAATATTATAATTATTATTATTATTATTAGTAGTAGTAGTAGTATTGAAATAGCGCCAACTCTGAGGCACTTTAGAATATTAGTTTCTAATTCATATATATATATAAATATATACAGGTGATACTCAAAAAATTAGAATATTGTACAAAAGTTCATTTACTTCAGTAATACAATGTAAAAGGGGAAACTAATATATGAGATAGACGCATTACATGCAAAGCAAGATAGTTCAAGCCGTGATTTGTCATAAGTGCGATGATTATGGATTACAGCTCATGAAAACCCCAAATCCACAATCTCAGTAAATTAGAATATTACATGCAATCAATAAAATATGGAGTGTACATAGAACAATATCAGACCTCTGAAAAGTATAAGGTGCTTTTGGCAGTGTGGGCAGGTGCCAAGTCCTGCTGTAAAATGAAGTCAGCATCCCCATAAAGCTCGTCTCCGGAAGGAAGCATGAAGTTCTCCAAAATCTCCTGGTAGACGGCTCCATTGACCCTGGACTTAATGAAGCACAGTGGACCAACACCAGCAAATGACATGGCTCCCCAAATCAACACAGACTGTGGAAACTTCACACTGGACTTCAAGCATCTTGCAATGTGTGCCTCTCCATTCTCCCTCCAGACTCTGGGTCCTTGGTTTCCAAATGAGATGCAAAAGTTGCTCTCATCAGAAAAGAGGACTTTGGACCACTGAGCAACAGACCAGGTCTGTTTTTCTTTAGCCCAGGTAAGATGCTTCTGACATTGTTTGTTGTTCAGGAGCGGCTTGACAAGAGGAATACGACATCTGAAGCCCATGTCCAGGATCTGTCTGTGTGTCGTGGCTCTTGATGCACTGACTCCATCCTCAGTCCACTCCTTGTGAAAGTCCCCAACACTTTTAAATGGCCTTTTCCTGACAATCCTCTCCAGGCTGCGGTCATCCCTGCTGTGTGTGCACCTTTTTCTTCCACACTTTTCCCTTCCACATAACTTTCTATTAATGTGCTTTGATACAGCACTTTGGGAACATCCAACTTCCTTCGCAATTACCTTTTGAGGCTTTCCCTTCTTATGGAGGGTGTCAGTGATGGTTTTCTGCACAACTGTCAGGTCAGCAGTCTTCCTCATGATTGTGATTCCTACAGAACCAGACTGAGAGACCATTTAATAGCTCAGAAACCCTTTGCAGGTGTTATGGCTTACTTAGCTGATTAGAGTGGGACACTGTGAGCCTAGAATATTGCACCTTTTCACAATATTCTAATTTACTGACATTGTGGATCTAGGGTTTTCATGAGCTGTAAGCCATAATCATCGCACTTATGAGAAATCACGGCTTGAACTATCTTGCTTTGCATCTCATATATTAGTTTCCCCTTTTACATTGCATTACTGAAATAAATGAACTTTTGTACAATATTCTAATTTTTCGAGTATCACCTGTATGTATTATGATTATCACATGACTTGCCAGGTTAAAAAAAAGATAAATTGTCCTTTTGGGGCAAATGAAATCCCCCCAAAATTGTCAGTGTGTTTATGTTCAGTGTTGCTATAGCTAACTAGCAGCTAATCTACGATAGAAAATCCAGCGAAGCAACAGAATTATGCTATAACTAAACATTTTATCCAATATTCTCAGCGTGTGTTTCTGAAGGTAATCACCTCTGGATTCCTATTGCAAAACCCTTTCTCATTCTAAATCACTTTTAAACACTAATGTAGTTTAAAAGGATCACTTGGGAGTAGAGGCAGAGGAAAGAAACTTTGAACTTGAGTCACTATTAAAATCTAATTTTATTTATTTTCAATTCCTTTAACACTAAAAACCCTCCAATGGTCATTTCAATAAAATAACATTATGTCTCTAGTTATTGAAATAAAATTATTTAACTTCATATCTATTTCAGAACCTTAATGGGAGCACTTCAGCTCAATCTTGGTGGGGCTCCAGAAGGACCAGCTGGAACTGGGAAGACAGAAACCTGCAAAGACTTGGCTCGAGCAGTAGCTAAACAGGTCAGAAATTTATTTTTCACAGCCTAAGAGACATTTGGTTGTTTGAACTAATCTTTACTGTACTAATGCCTTTACTATACTAACGCTGTACTGTTTTTCAGTATTAGATGACATGTAAAAATATAGTATTTAAGATTGATGATGGCCTAAATAAAAAATATAAAATAATCCAATATTCTTAGAGGCCTGACTGCTGGCACCAGGGGGACCCATGTAAGTGTAAAATTGTTTAAAGGAACACCATAGGGAAAGCATTGGATTGGCTGAATTCAGCAAGGAGGCGGGTGAGGGTGGGCCAAACTTGGGCCAATCAGCAGCTTCTCATAGAGATGTATTGAAACAATGCATTTCTATAAGAAAAATTCAGCATCTCCATGTGCTGCACAGCCCCAGGAAGCACCTCCAGTGGCCATTTTAGGAGTGGCCACTGGAGATGTCCCTAGGGGGCAATGTAAACACTGCCTTTTCTCTGAAAAGACAGTATTCGCATGAAAATGCCTACAGGGAATGATTATACTTACCAGAACAACTACATTAAGCTGTAGTTATTCTGGTGACTATAGTGTCACTCTCAGCAGTGGGATGGTGTTAGAGAACCCCTGGCACCATAACTGCTACAGAATCCTATAATGGTTACTGTGCTTAGAATGCCCCTTTAACTTTGCACACATCTCTCTAATTGCCATTGTTCAAAAGGAGGATGAAACCCCAAGTTAAAGACATTTTCAATTTTACCATAAAAATGGGGAAAGGTAGTTCTTGATTCCAAAGTGGCAATCAGGTTTTGACTAGTCTGATTCTAGATCTAAGAGTAACTGTCACTTTGGCAGTAACAGAAGAAAGTTTTCTTATGATAAATCTATATATGATGTCGACCATGCGGACACAACTTACAACTGATGCAAGGTCATAATGTCCCATGTCCTTAGTCTGCCTGTGGTCAATGGCCACTCACAGGGAAAAGATTGCTATCGACTATAGTTGAGCAGAGCATCAGGAGGAAGATGGGGAGATTGATCATCTAGATGTGCCATTATGGTCAAAGTGATTTATAATTAACTTGCTGCATACTTCATCTTAGCAAATACTTCTAAATATTCTGCCAATGTGGGGGAAAAATAACTGTCACTGAAAGAAAAGTGTCAGTTTCTCTTTAGCCGAGTTATTAAACTGTATAAAGATTAAGTAAAGAGTTTTACAATAGACATCCTCTGTATTTTCATCATTTTCCAGAATGTTGTGACTGGAGAATTAAAGGGAAAGGGACGATTATGTTAATTGGAAGCAAGGCGAAGAAGTAAACCTGTATCTCCCTGTATTATTCATCCTATTGTCTATTTAGAACAATGCATTTGCATTCCTTAACTAATAAGACAGATTATATGCTAGACCTTACAAATACATAATGTATCGAGAGAGCAGCTGTACAGTACCCCATTAGTTGTGGTTCCTTAAATTTTTGATTTTCAGACAGGTGATCGATGCATTTCTTTCTGACATTCTATGGAAGCCTCATGTCTGTCAGAGATAAGCAGGACACTTCTCCCATAATTAATTTGATAATAATAAATATACGCAAATAATATATTAATTTATGGCGCTCTTTCATTATTCTTCCCCCACCTCCCAGCTTTTACTTCAGGATGACAGCAATGCATTCCATGTGTCAATTCTATTAAAAAGTGACAAGTCTAAGCACAAGACAGATAAATATAATAGATAAAGTAAATCACATTATTCCCTTTGTCTTATAACTGAAGATAACATATTGACAGATAATGTGTTAACTGAAGGGTGTCAGTGTGTTTGGAAAATGTTTAATTAATGGAAAAATTTCAATTATGCACATTTTTTTACATATCTATTTTTTTTTTCTTATAACATGCTTCTGGAAAACTTTATTCAGAAGTAATGACTGTATTCACTAAAGATATTTAACCCATTAAGGATACATGATGGAAATTTTCCATTATGCTGGCCTTTTACTTCTAAACCTGTGTCCTTAAGGGGTTAAGTGATAAAACATACACAAACCACTCTACCTCTGCATTCAGACAAATACAAAAGTATAAGTTCAATATTCTTCAGTTCCTATCCCTATACTGCTGTATAAAATAAACAAAACAAATTCTATATATGACAAACTTATATTCAGGCAGGTTTAGATATAATGTCCGGTATCTCACAAAAGTGAGTACACCCCTCACATTTTTGTAAATATTTTATTATTTCTTTTCATGTGACAACACTGAAGGAATGACATTCTGCTAAAATGTGAAGTAGTAAGTGTACAGCCTGTATAACAGTGTAAATTTGCTCTCCCCTCAAAATAACTCAACACTCAACCATTAATGTCTAAACCGTTGGCAACAAAAGTAAGTATACCCCTAAATTAGCCCAATTAGCCATTTTCCCTCCCCGGTGTCATGTGACACATTAGTCTCAGGTGTGAATGGGGAGTAGGTGTGTTAAATGTGGTGTTATCGTTCTCACACTCTCTCATACTGGTCACTGGAATTCAACATGGCAAAGAACTCTCTGAGGATCTGAAAAAAAGAATCGATGCTCTACATAAAAATGGCCTAGGCTATAAGAAGATTGCCAAGACCCTGAAACTGAGCTGCAGCATGGTGGGCAAGACCATACAGCGGTTTCACAGGACAGGTTCCACTCTCAGAACAGGCCTCGCCATGGTCGACCAAAGAAGTTGAGTGCACGTGCTCAGCGTCTTATCCAGAGGTTGTCTTTGGGAAATAGACATATGAGTGCTGCCATCATTGCTGCAGAGGTTGAAGGGGTGGGGGTTCAACCTGTCAGTGCTCAGACCATATGCGCACACCACATCAAATTGGTCTGCATGGCTGTCGTCCCAGAAGGAAGCCTCTTCTAAAGATGATGCACAAGAAAGCCAGCAAACAGTTTGCTGAAGACAAGCAGACTAAAGACATGGATTACCGATGAGACCAAGATAAACTTATTTTGTTCAAATGGTGTCAAGCGTGTGTGGCAGCAACTAGGTTAGGAGTACAAAGACAAGTGTGTCTTGCTTACAGTCAAGCATGGTGGTGGGAGTGTCATGGCCTGGACCTGCATGAGTGGTGCTGGCACTGGGGAGCTACAGTTTATTGAGGGAACTATGAATGCCAACATGTGACATGAAGCAGAGCATGATCCCCTCCCTTCAGAGACTGGGCCGCAGGGCAATATCCCAATATGATAACAACCCCAAGCACACCTCCAAGACGACTACTGCCTTGCTAAAGAAGCTGAAAGTAAAGGTGATGGACTGGCCAAGCATGACAAGACCTAAACCTTATTGAGCATCTGTGGGGCATCTTCAAACAGAAGGTGGGGGAGCACAAGTTCTCTAACACCCACCAGCTCCGTGATGTCGTCATGGAGGAGTGAAAGACGACTCCTTTGACAACCTGTGAAGCTCTGGTGAACTCCATGTCCATAAGGGTTAAGACAGTGCTGGAAAATAATTGTGCCCACACAAAATATTGACACTTTGGGCCCAATTTGGACGTTTCCATTTAGGGATGTACTCACTTTTGTTGCCAACGTTTTAGACATTAATGGCTGTGTGTTGAGTTATTTTGAGGGGACAGCAAATTTAAACTGCTATACATGCTGTACACTTACTACTTTACATAGTAGCAGAGTGTCATTTCTTCATGAAAAGATATAATAAAATATTTACAAAAAATGTGAGGAGTTTACTCACTTTTGTGAGATACTGTATATGCTGGCTGGTTAACTTACCAGCAAAATATATATTTACATGTTGGTCAAGCATGTCAAACTCGTGGCCCACGGGCCGCATGCGGCCCACAATGAATATTTTTGCGTCCCGGCGAGCAGCGAGTTTGCCATGCTTACTAAGGCAGAGTAGGCACCTGATCTCCTCACATTGCAGATGCCTACTCTGCTAAAATTACACGGCCGGAGAGGAGAAGTCCCTGGTGGCAGCGAGGGAGCTCAGTTTTCCTGCTCCTCACTGCTCCCTCAGGCGTGCCCTCTGTAGTGATGCCGGGTGCCGGAATATGACGTAATTCCAGCACCACTAAACTGCGTGCGTGAGGGAGCAGGAAGACTGAGTTCCAGAGAGAAGATCAGGGAGAGGCCCCACACCAGCTACCAAAGGTAGGGAGTAAAAAAATAAAAGTATGTGAGTGTGTGCAAGAATGTGTAAATGTGTGTGTGCGTGTGTGTGTCTGTCAGTGTGTGTGTGTATATGTCAGTGTGTGTGTGTATGTGTCTGTCAGTGTGTGTGGGTGTGTCTGTCAGTGAGTGAGTGTGTGTCTGTCAGTGTGTGTGTGTCTGTCAGTGTGTGTGGGTGTGTATGTCAGAGTGTGTTTGTGTGTCTGTCAGAGAGTGTGTGTCTGTCAATGTGTGTGTGTGTGTCTGTCAATGTGTGTGTGTGTTTCTGTCAGTCAGTGTTTGTGTGTCTCTCAGAGAGTGTGTGTGTCTGTCAGAGTGTGTGTCTGTCAGTGTGTGTGTGTGCGTCAGTGTGTGTTTTTCAGAGAGTGTGTGTGTGTGTCTGTCAGTGTGTGTTGGTCAGTGTTGTAATGGCCGCGGCTGAACAGTGGAGGACTTGGAGGTGCACAGAGGCACACAACGCCACGTCACATTCTGACGTGACATCAACGTGCCCCACCTTCACAGGTTTTCAAGGAGTAACAGGAGGATGCGTTTGGCACAGGATGCAGACGGCGCCATTGGGGGTATACCAGAGGCTGGACTCCTGAGTTGCATATTGGCAATGTGAGTGGAGTCTGCTTGTTGGCTAATATTGCTTTTTTTAACAAGGGCTGTTTTTTAGTATAGAGGGGTGTTGGGATTTAGTATAGAGGGGGGTACTGAGATTTAGTATAGAGGGGGGTGCTGGGATGTAGTATCTAGACGGACTGGAATTTAGTATAGAGGGGGGACTGGGATTTAGTACAGGGAGGGTACTGGGGTTTAGTAGGGGGGATGCTGTTTTTTTTATACTGTACTTTTCAAAACAAACCTACCTTTCTATGACAATTTAAGGTTTCAGTTTTTTTTGCGGCCCACATTAACTTAAACCTTGTTTACGTGGCCCATGCTAGCCTTTGAGTTTTACATGCTTGATGTAGGTCAACAGCAGCCACAAACTAGCAACAGCTGATGGAAGTTGCCATTTTGCTATTTAGCATATTAGCTACTTGCAACTGAAGACTAGAAACACATCACTTACAGTAAAAAGTGAGCATTTTCCATTTTACATACTTTGAGAATTGCATGATGTTTTGTTTTTTTTCACGTATCAGCCTGCGATTTATATTTATACCCTGAGTAGGTTACTCATGATTCACATCCAATAGCAAAGTGATTTAATATTACTTAAAAAGTTTAGTCCCATTTTTGTTAACACTTTACTCATGGGTTATTTGTATGATCTGACAATGGTGATGGCTTGATTAGTGCTCGAAATTACTGTGCATGCCGACAGCCATTTTAATAATTTTGTCATTCACTCCTGCATAAAATGGATGGAGGCCTCAAGTTGCAAAAGAGCAAGCAACAGAAAAAAAAAATGAAAATGAAAATTAATTGGTTGGCTTGTTAGTCATCAAATCAGGGCACTCTGACTGAAATTGCATAGTGTGGGAAAGCCCTTACAAAGGCTTTCCACCCCTTGCAATATCAGTCTACACCATGCCCTCAAACAGCAAAGATGGATTTTTTTTATTGCGTCACATTTATTGGAAGGGTAAGGGGGATCATATGGCCCCCAACTTCTTTAATGTAATAGTCCACCTCCAGTGGCCACAGGGGCCTTTAGTCTAAAGCTCCCATTCGAAGCCCACTGTTGAAGGCGTGGGGGAATCTGGGTAGAGCTTACTGTTTATTGGTCATGCCCCAACCTATGGCGTGGGTTAAAAATCTTCCTTTTACTATTGTGACTTTTACTTCATTTCATACTTTTTCTTATAATTTTTTTTTTTTTAAATGTCTAACAGTATTAGCTGGGAGAACACCTAAAAAGGGCAGCCTAGATCTTCCCTTCCTCCCATGGCGCTCTACCTCCCTGCATCCCTCCTTTCACAGTTTTTAATAATTCACTCCTGCTCCTGTTTACCTCCCACTCCCTCACTCCCTATCCACCTTGGCTCAGAATGCTCTATGAAAAGCATTTTATAGGATCATGGAGAGTGGGGCAGAGACATTGGATGCAGTATGGAAACCAACTATGGGAGCTCCACCTGGCACTGGATTCCACGTACGTTAATGCCTATTTTCAGGTTTATAATGGGGGTACATATGTGCTAATGTCTTATCTGACATTCTAAATTAAGATAAAAAGTTATTCATAAATGGTTGGAGAATTCTTTATCTTCATTGCGTCCAGTCATGGTCTCATGCTAAGATTTTTGGGATAGAAGCAGATAGTGACTGGTTTGGAATCCATTTGAAAAGTAGTTGCTAAACAGTAGTTAGTGGCTCCCAAAAATAATGACAATCATTAGCTGTTAATTAGTGACTAGTTTTAAGTAGCAGCTGCCAGTAACTCTCTGTCATTACTATTAAAATATTACAGCCTGCCAAAGGTAGCACCAGACGTTTTTGTGAGTAGCACATGGCAAGTAAGAAGTAGACTTGGAGATGCGTCTTTGACCATTCATCCGAATTTGGGCTGATCAGCTATGTAGCTGAAATACAAAATAGTGAGCAGACACATGCCCCATTTCTGAAGCAATCACAATGGCTAATGACTGGGATTCGGGGTTAACAATTTGCCTGTTGGCGGTGCTAGCAGCCAGATAGCAAATAGTTTAAAATCATCACCCCCATGTTAGTACAAGGGAGGTTTTATACATTGTATGGTAAGAATATTTTTTTATGTATTATGTATATTGGCCCCCCTCACATTTATTAGGGTGATGGGGGTATGAAGAATTATTTTTACTGTTCGGGGCTCACTAGGGGCTTGTATATCCTTAGCCACCCAGGGGAGCAGTTAACCATAATTTGGGTAGTCGGCAATGGCATGTCCAAACCCACTTATCACATTTAATACCACCCCATAACACCCATGAGTGGAATGTGAGGGATGGAGAACAGCATGCCCACCCTCCATTAATTGTTAAATAGCTCCCACCTGCTGCCCATGGATGATGACGGAGGGAAACAGTTGATCTAGTGACCTCATGCTTTTTATTTATTTATTTATTTGTATTTAATTTTACAGTGGCAGCTGGCTAGAAAGTGCTGATTTATCCTTGTGTCATCTAAGCATTAAGTTTGGCAGAAAAATATTTTCCCAACCACTTTTAAGCTGAACCAAAGAGTCACATTGTTGAGTGTTGGATGTCCAGAACAAATTTTCTAAATCTGGAAATTTTGTTCTGAAGAACAAAGCAATCGCACCAGGTCTACTAAGTAGAGACAAGGTTGTCAACATGCCCTTGGTGTGCAATCTGTGAGTGTTGCTACTAATTCTAAATTGGAATTTTAATATTTGCATCCTCTAGTGGATGGAATGTTGAGTGAAGCAACCCTGTTACTTAGGGTGAGGGGAAGCTATGTCACGGGAGTCTTACCCCAACACACAGGAAGAGTGGAAACCCGCAAAAGGTGGATCCGAAAGAAATATTACTAAGTACTTTTAAGGGCGTGACGTCACATCATCAACTTTTATTTATAGGGGCTGCAGTTCGGCCCGCAGACAAGCAGAGAGAGGCATTCGCGGGACTGAAGGTAGATACAATCCTATACAGGCCGCACAGCCCCATGGAGCATTCGGGCTGCGCGACCTGAGGACTGCAGTAATGCCCCTCGTCGCCCAAGGAGAGAAGCGGCGCAGGTGCTAGGCACAGGAAAGTTGACTCTTCACATGCTAAAAGCTAGTAATCTGTGTACCTTTTTCTTTTTTCTTCTGATATAAACCATGGCTGCTTTGCATGAAGTCAAAACAGGTAATATCCATTTTTATTTTCACACTTTGCCCAAAATATTGCCCAGCACCATACATGTAAGTTAGATGGAATGTCCTGCAATGGAGCAAAAAGAGAGCTCAGCTTGAAACTTTATTTTAGGTTTAAATGTTTTCTAAGCACCATGGGAAATAGTCATAAACAGTTGTTATAACAAAGATTATATAGGTGTCTGCTTGAGTTGTGTCCTTTTTGGAACTGTCACATTTGTACATATGGGGATACCTCCCACTTGGATGACAACATCCCCATCCTTCCATCTGCTTTTATTAAAGATCATTTTGCCATTAAATATCTTATTAGTAATTTATAGCACATTTATTTGTTATATACATCTCTTTCCATTTCCCCAATTTACAGAGTATTTAATGGATGCTTGTAATTTATGAACCTATAATTTGTCTCTGCTTCTCTGACACCTTTTATAAGACCTTGGTCTCCTGCCGCTTCTATTGTGTTTCTGTTAGTTTAGTATTTCTCTTTGTAATATCCTCAAGAGAATAGAACAACCACACTGTATATTTCATTTTTTCATATGGATATAAATGTAATTTATTTTAATGTGTGCAGAAACGACGAGAAAGAGTGAATCTATACATTTTTAAAATTGCTTTTGAGAAATAAAAAAATAAAAAAATGCACTAGGGAAAATGTACTGAAGGGGGTGTGAATAGATATTTAGCTTTTCTGCTGATTTTCAATAGCAATTTTACCAGTTAGCGAGATTCGCATGTACACTAATATTACCAAAACAATATGTGCCTTATATTTCAAGGAGTTAAAAAAAGCATTATATAAATGACAATATCTTGTTATGAATATAAAAAGGCAAGAAACTATTTTTTTTAAAATGTTTTGCTTTGCAGATGGAATTAATTGTTTCTGAATATGTTTCTGCTTTTGTTTCTTCCCTCTCAAACTTCCCTATTGAGGTTAGATTTGGATGAATAACCGGACACTAACATTAACACTACCAAATTTTAGTTGTCAGTGGCATTATTGTGATTCAAACAATTCTGAAATAGTTGAGCTACAAACAGGGCTTCAAAGCAGCACTGGAAAAAAAAATCTATGCCAGCCCCAAAAGTCATTGTGCCACGTATTATATATATGTATACTACTAGAATAGAATGGCGCAAAGAAGTATACAACAAAAAAATAAAATGTTTCTTATCTTATATTTTAATATAAAATCTGTCTCACACCGACCTGTGGGTGCAATTTCTGGGTGACCTGCAGGAGGGGAGCACAGAGCACAGCACTCCCCCTCCTGTCAGTCGCTGATGAGGATTTGTATCCTCTGCTTGGTCTGACAGGAAGTGCTCAATGAGAGCAACGAACAGCTTCCTGTCAGAAAAAGAGGCAAAGAGGGGCTGTGGAAAGAAAGAGACATACTTAGGGCAAGGAGGAGAAAGGGATGCACAGAGAGACTGGTGGAAAGAGACACACAAAAGGGCTAGGGGAGAAAGAGACACACAAAGGGGCAGTGGGAAAGAGACACACACAGGGGCTGGAGGGAGGAAGAAACCTACAGAGGGGATGGGGAGGAGAAAGGGACACAGAGAGAGGTCAGGAAAGAGACACATGGGGAAATGGGTAAAAAGAGACAAACAAAGGAGCTGGGAAAGGGGAAAAAGATAAAACGAGACCTCCAAAGGGCTACAGGGAAAGAGACACACAGAAGGGTTTGATGAGACAGAGACACACAAAGGGTCTGGGGAGAAAGAGACACAAAAAAGGATGGGGAAGAGACACACAAAGGGGCTTTAGGGAGAAAGAGACACACAAAAAGGGCAGTGGAAAAAGCGACACACAAAGGGGGGTTGTAAGAGACACACAAGGGGTGTAAGACACACCAAGGAGGATAAAAACATTCAAAAATAAGGATAAGAAGCACAAAAGTAGGTAGAAAATTCAAAAGGGGGTCAAGAGATGCACAAGTCCAAACACATTTTTTGGGGGCCTGGGGGTGAAAAAATTTATCTTTACTAGTGTAGCCAAAGGTTCTTGTACCAGCCCTGATCAAACTAAACAGACTTAAAGACCTCAGTTATATCAAAGTCTCTACTATTGTTGAGCTATAATGTAACAAATTCAGGAGATAAACATGCTAGATGTACTACTAAACAAACACTGTGATTTTAAACTTTTTATGAGAAACCAAGAACGCGCCTATATATATATATATATATTTTTTTTTTAACATTGCGTAAAAGGACAGCATGTATGCACAAAAACTACTACACTAAGATGCAATGTTTTTGGTGCTTAGATTGTTGCTTTAAACTCTACCTACAGACTCTCCTCCATTTAATAAGTTACTCAGACTACTTCTTAAGGGCCACCTGTATTTGGAGGGATCGGTGATCTACCTAAAGAGCTTGTTCAGGATATTATGAAAATATAGAGAACAAGTATATATTTAGGAGCATGTTTTTTTCTTATAGTGGAGCACAAAGTTTGAGGTTACATGTGTAGTCATCTTTAGGTAAATCTGCAATTAAGTTTCATCTCAACACGTTCATGTCTGCTTCTATTATTATTGTGTTGTCACTGTTAGCAGAGATAAGTTTTTCATCCGGATTCCTGTAATTTTTTTTACAGGTAATAGTGTAAGGTGTATATCTGAAACATTCTATTGACCTGTCCCTTTTCCCCACTCTTGAAGGTTCTGCACATGTCCCATTATCAGTAGTGTAAAGCCAATTGTGCATTTTTTATTGGGTGCATATCTAAAATCTGCTTGAAAAAGCTGCAGATCCCTTTAGTGTTGCAGGTGCTCTTGGTGTCAGGTTACTCTGGACACAGATCATAGGAAAAAAATCCACAGTTTATTTATAGCCAGCTACGGTCTCATCACCACAGACTCATGACTGCAAAAAGGGCAGATCATGACCCTGATCATGTACAGCTCTTGTCCCATATATGGTCATATGGCTCTGAGATCATATACCACATTAGAAGCTTACCCCTTCTAACCTAGCCCAAGCTTTATGTATCTGTCCAATTGCATGTTTCCCATTGCAGATCATTGAGAACTTTCCTTTGCAAGGCAGGCTCACTACGCAATTGCTTGTCTCTTGAGTTTATATCCACTGAGCTAAACAACCAGGAAGTAACAGGGCTGATAGACAGGGAGGTGGGAGGGAGGTGTAACAAGGGTTAATTATAATAAGTGCCAATTTCTAATGAACGTCACCCTTTATGTAATATGAAAAAAGAGGACACACTCTTCACACATGTCAGGAAGTTGAAATACTTTAGGTATTTTGAAAGTTCCATTAAATTTTGAACTCCATGCTTATTTATCCTACAATTTAGCACCTTCATCTTGGCTCCCTGTGCATTATCAATATAAGTTCTGTCTTTTGCACCTCACAGTCAGCATAGAGAAAGCATACAGAGAAGAAGAGAAATTAAACAATATTTCTATTTGTCCTCTACATTTGCCATGTTTGCCGTGGCTTTGCCTTGGGCAATTGAAGAAACTCATGAAAAAATCAAAAAGGTTAACACAAGGGGATTCATATTGTTTTAGTCAATGGTGTAAATTCTAGAGAGGAAACAGTTAATCTATTAGGCCCCCCAGATATAATCATCTCAAGAATAGGGATAATACAAAAGATACCACTCTCAAACAGTATTGGTTGCAGATGTGCTCTAGGGAACATTTAATTCATGTTATGTTTAGTTATGCATTTAATAAATATTCTAGGAACCCAAAGACTTTCTTCGTGATATAATATGCCCAGTAACATGACCTAAACCTCTCTGTCTCTTTCTTTGCAGTTTAGTACATAGCAAGGGGTCAAGTTAATTGTGAGGCTTCACTGTGAACTCTTCAAATTTACGGGGGGAAAAAAATATGTGCATCTGCCCTGCTGTTTGGTTGCTTAATTACAAAATAATTGCTTGTATTACTTTTATTAGAATCATTAATATATAAACATTACCCTTTTAAGTATCAACCGTTTATTCACCTAAAAATAAATGTTAATTTTGACAATTATTTGTTTTAATTCCTGTTTAGTTTTATCTTCATTTATCAAAATAGTTTTGATGTTAATGTTAGTTATCATAACAAAAACCTTTGTACTTTTTCTTTTTTTCATTTTTTTTTTTTTCATTTACAGTGTGTTGTTTTTAACTGCTCAGATGGACTAGACTATAAAGCCATGGGGAAATTCTTCAAAGGTCTGGCACAGTCTGGAGCTTGGGCATGCTTTGATGAATTTAATCGTATTGAGCTGGAGGTAATTTTAACACCAGTTTCTCAGCAAACTTAGTATGCAATGCGGATGCTGAGGCTGACAAGTGCAAATATAAATGCAGAAATATAATATTGACTTTCAAATTTAGCACTTTCATGTGAACATGTAACATTACAGGGCAAAGAATAATATCTGGAATATTATAGTTTACTGGAAAATGCAAATGCATTACTCATTTTATTCTAGATTGCAAAAAATAATTTCCATATTTAAAAATATTACTATTTTAAAATAATTATTTTATCATAATATATAAAATATATTATTTGCAGTGTAAATTAAGGTATATACAGGATTATTATCTTCTATTTTCCCTAAATTATACAAATTTATTGATTGATGGATATTTTAGAACTCATCAAAAGCATTATGTTATGTTGTATAACCCCCTTTCAACCAAAGCAAATTGTTATAATTGTGTTAATGTTTAATAATACAATTTTTTTAAATATGCAGAATGTATAATAATATTTTATTTAAATGCTGACCATAAACAAAATGATGTTGACCTATAGCTCTCAATATATATTTTTTATCTCATTTTCTGTTTTTATACAGTGCTTTTCCTGCACTTTATAAATCTACAGAGAGAACCAGCTTGTACATTTTAAATAATTTCTTCATGCTTTTTTTTTTTTAGCACTGAACAATTTTATGAGGTACAGAACTCATTCCACACCTGTCAGCTTTCAAGAATATATAACATTAATTTATATATATATATATTTAGTATTTTTTTTTATTTTGTAAAATGCGTGAACAAAATATTAAAGTTTAATTTTAACTTAAAGTGAAAAATAGAACTGAAATGGTCTCTCTAAGCTACAAAATTACTTCAACTTAATCAAGTGATCTGGGGTCACAAATACTGTCCCTGCAGCCTTGCAATTGAAAACAGTGACATTTTTAAAAACAAAAATAGAACTGATTGCATTTTGCCTACCAGTTGCTCTCAGATAGTCATTAGGAATTTATCACATAAATAGATTAAGTTATTGAATCTGTTTGATATAGAGGATCAGCATGTAGAGAATGGTGACACCCGTTGCTGAGTGCATTTGATTTTAATTATTCTCATAGATAAGCCAGGGATCGGCAGATGATCACGCATGCATTGTGTATTCACAATATTTTTCTGATTGGACAAAAGTAGTTTGAGTTTGATGACTTTACAGGATTCAAACTTCAAGTCTTTCTTGGAGCTGGCGTTTTTTTAGGTAGTTTTTAAAAGGCAAGTCCGGTAATTTTAAATAAAGAAAGAAACACATCTAATTAAAAACAGATTTGTGTTTAGAATGTTTCTTTAAAGTGGTAAAGGTATGGAGAATGAGATGAGTATCTTCAAATACCTATATTTTCCATATAGACAACCTGACTGTATTGAATCTATGTAGGCATTTAAATACCTATAATTTGCACCAAGACAATTTATATGTACATACTGTATGCTGACTTTATATTCAGTGACTTGTACACGAGCAAAATATAGATTTGTCCAAATTGTTTCATCCAAATATATTATTTTAAAAATTGGATGAACCAAATTCTGTTCACTGAGTGGTTCAGCTCGTCCTAATTTCGTCCAATAAATTCATTTAGTTTTTTTGATTTGGATGAAACAAATGGCATGTTGTCAAGCTTGATTTTTCTCCTTTTCCAACAGAGTGAAGCAGACAAAGTAGCACCATAGCTGGTAAACTTGTGCATTCAATTTCCGATAACTTGCGAAACGGACAAATTTTGACCTAATGGCAGGTTGTCCAAAATCATCATTAAATGGACAATGCATAAACAGTTTCATTTGATTCATGATTCAGTTATCTTATCATGGAACCAAAAAAAGAAATGATTGATGGGAAAATTTTTATTAATGGACAGGGGAAAGCCACTAAACGTTTATGCTATTCACAGATCAATTGAGAAATAGACTTGATCTGAAAAATTTGGTCTGTCTGAATTGATTCTTCTGGACAAAAAAAATTAGGCTGCAATTCTGAATTTGTCCATTTGGTGTTTTGGTTTGGTTACATTTTGTCCATGCAATCATTTCTGGAAAACAATTCAGTTAATTCAAAATTGCACAAAAGTGGGTTAGTGCACAGCAAAATACATACTAAAGAATGTAAATATTATGTATACATTTTGCAGTACACCTCTAGACGCATTTTCATGCCATGTGGTTAACAGATCATACGAGACAAAGTAAACAGTAAAGGAAAAAGGTGGAGCAGTAAAAAAACAATCTATATGTATATATTATATATTTATTGAAATTTACATTTATTAAACATCTAGTAAAAAATATCCAATACAATGAAAAAAGGAGGAGCAATAACATTTTTTTATATATTATATATTTAATAGACATTTTCTGGATTAATCAATTTGGACAAATCTACAGCTTGATGTAGTACTTATGGTGCCAGGAAGGATTACCCTTCTACGTCCTGTGGTGGTTATGGTGCTTGGATTATTCGTAAATCCCATGTTACATATTATATAATGTAACATTGCATTACTTTTTCCACTTGACTTGTGTGATTGAATTAAGAAAATATCCCAAGCACCATAACCACTACAGGGGCAGGATATCCACTACATGCAAAAGAAAAGACACAGTCAGAAAACATATTTATATTCTTTAGAATGGCCAGGCTTAACAGTAGACAGTTTTAATACATACTAAGATAAGTCCAAGAAAAAGTTTGAGGTCAAGGAGCATAGAATTACACAAACTTTAGAAACTAACCTAGGTCAGGGAGAGCAGAATTTTGGAAAAACTTACAACAAGTCAATTTGGCAACTAAATAATCAGTCAGAATAAATGCATAGACTCTTGGGTGTCAGAGACCAAGTCAGGGCAAAGGGCAAACAGAAAAATGGTCTGTAATAAGCTAAATTCAGTGCTGAGACTTCAGACTTGCATTACATTTTGAGGCCAAAACATGTGCAATGTATGTTTCAGAAATTACATGGATGGCTGTAGCTCCAAAATATGATGCAGGTCTGACTAGTCATAAAGCAGTGGTCCCCATCGTAAGTGACACCAGCATGACACAGTTTTGTATTACCCTGTCCAATACTAGGTGATTATGATAGACTAAGAGCACTGCTTTCCAGTTCCCAAAGGTTTTTGCACCATAACGACTACAATGAACTATAATGGCTATAGTGCTAAGAACGCCATTGTAATATTTCAAAAAGGAACTTCAAAATAATATTGCATCTAAGTTTACATAACAATAACGTGAGTCCTAGAGAAAGATGTATGTGTATTGTATCCATATATATATTAACATTATTTTATGAACAATAAAATTCATAGTCTACGTCTGGAAAATAGATTTGGGTCAAACTGCCCTTATGTGAATTTGTTTTTACACACTAGTTATTTTTTAATGGTGGAATTACAGTATAACAAATGCAAGCTTCCAGGGCACTATGTTCTTTCTCCAGGCAAGATTGAATAAAAGCACGAAGTTACTATCTTTGCTGTTAACCATTAAACGTATCACGTTAACAGATAAGTGCATATATTAAATAAGCTTATAGTGTAAAATGTTACAAACGTACTCCAAGCAAAATAACTCTGCAAGGATATCCCATGTGATTTACAATAATTAAAGTTCCCATATGTACTTGTATGTTATGTATATATTCTGTGCATGCAAGTCCATACTATGTCAGTGATTGGTATGAACTTGTAGAGAAGCTTTGCATCATATTTGTTTTGCCAATGCACAGTATGTTCATAAATATAGTCAGGTATGTCATGGAGTTTTTGGAATAGCATCAACATTCAGTCATTTGAATTCATTTTTTTTCCTCTGTTGCTGAGCTACCCCAAACATTTTTCAATAGTAGGGGAGGCTGAAGATACATCCACAATCTTTGTAGAACTGCAATTTACATGATTTTTCTTTTTGCCTTGGTAGGTGTAGCTCTCCAACAAATAGGGATCTAACTTTGGGCACCTCTGCTCTGGGGTGGTTTCTCACAATTTGAACTAGACTTGGAGATTCGTTTGAGGTTGAACAGCAGTTCGGCCGAGTTAGAGCCAATCAGGTGATCTGAAGAATCTTTGATTTTTGAATTGCCACGTGCAGAATTTTGCAGTTGCTAGCATCAGAAAAAAGGAGATGGAATGGAGAAGAAGCAGTTTTATTTATTATTTATTTATTTACATATTTATTGGGTGGGGCATAAGAGCTAAAAAGCTTGGTGGGCTGTATTGCCAATCTAATTAACAGGAACAAAAAAACATCATTAGGAGACAGCCACTAAATGTTGATTTTATTCAAGTGAACTGAATGAAAGAAGGCTACAAAATGAAGAGCAATATAACAACTGTTCTTCCAAACAGGAATCTTATAAACACGTTTTCTTCAGCTACAGAGAGACACAATAGTACAATGTGATACAATGTGTTTAGTCTTGGTGTGCCAGTGTTGGAGTGGCAGATACCCTGAGACATTGATTCTAGCTTTAGATTTATGCTGTAGCTAGAAAGACAATACTGCCTAGAGCGCTAGAGATAACGTAAGTGGACGATAGGAGATTGTCACTTGAGCTGGCAGGCATTTTGTCATTGATAAAAGAGATAGTAGGAGTATTAGGGGTGGCCAAATCAACAGTTTGGTACATTGTGAGAAAAAAATTGAACGTACTAGTGAGCTCTGCAACACATAAAAGGCCTGGACATCCACAGAAAACACCAGTAGTGATTGATTGTAGGATATAATCCATGTTAAAGAAAAACCCATTCACAACAGCCAAGTAAAGAACACTCTCCAGGAGGTAGGCATATAATTTTTCAAGTCTACCATACAGAGAAGACTTCACGAGAGGAAATACAAAGGGTACACCAAAGGGTGCAAACCATTCATAAGTCTCAAGAATAGAAAGGCCATGTTAGACTTTGCCAAAAAAATTCTAAAAAAAAATACAGCCCAGTTCTGGGACAGCATTCTTTGGAAAGATAAAACTACCATCATCCTGTACCAGCCTGATGGGAAGAAACAAGTATGGAGAAGGCTTGGAATGGCTCATGATCCAAAGCATGCCACATCATCTGTAAAACATGGTAGAGGTAGTGTGATGGCATGGGAATGCTTGGCTTCCAATGACACTGAGTCACTAGTGTTTATTGATGATGTGACACAAGACTAAAGCACCCGGATGAATTTTGACGTGAATAGGGTATATTGGCTTCTCAGATTCAACTAAATTCAGTAAAGGGTTGATTGGACAGTGCTTTACAGATGGACAATTATTATTATTATGATATTTATATAGCGCCATCAAATTCCGCAGCACTTTACAATGGGTGGACGAACAGACATGTAGTTGTAACCAGACAAGTTGGACACACAGGAACAGAGGGGTTGAGGGCCCTGCTCAATGAGCTTACAGGTTAGAGGGTGTGGGGTAAAATGACACAAAAAGGTAAGGATAGTATTAGACTAGTGACAGTTGCAGAAGAGGAAGCTGTCAGGAGCTATTAACAGTTTAATTGATATGCGTTTATGAAAAAGTGGCTTTTTAACGATTTTTTGAAAGAGTGGAGACTGGGTGAGCATCTAACGGAGGAGGTAAGTGAGTTCCACAGGAACGGTGAAGCCCTCAAGAAATTTTGAAGGCGAGCATCAGAGGTGGGAGTACGGACAGAAGATAGACGTAAGTCTTCAGCAGATCGTAAGGGCCTAGACGGGACATACTTGTGTATAAGGGAGGATAGATAGGTGGAAGCAGCATTATGTAGCGATTGGAAAGCAAGAACCAGAATTTTAAATTGAGCTCTATAGTTTATAGGGAGCCAATGTAGGGACTGACAGAAGGGTGAGGCATGGGAGGTGCAGGCGGACAGGAAGATAAGCCTTGCCGCCGCATTCATTATGGACTGTAACGGCGCAAGTTGGGAGCACGTAAGACCACTGAGTAGCGGATTACAGTAGTCAAGGCGAGAAAGGATAGTGGAATGGACCAACACCTTAGTCACATCTGACGTTAAGTAGGGGCGGATGCGCGCAGTGTTTTTGAGATGGAAATTACAAGATTTGGCAATAGATTGAACATGAGGCTTGAAAGAGAGGTCGGAGTCAAAGAGAACACCTAGGCAGCGAGCCTGCATGGTGGAGCTGATGATAGCACCATTGACTTGGAGGGAGACAGACACAGGAGTAACAACACTTGAGGGAGGAAAGACCAGAATTTCAGTTTTGGTCAAGTTTAGTTTAAGGAAGTGGGCAGCCATCCAGTTAGAAATAACAGAGAGGCAGTCAGAGACACTAGTCAAGAGGGATGGGGAGAGATTAGGAGAGGACAGGTAGATTTGCGTGTCATCTGCATAGAAATTATATTGGAAGCCAAAGGAGCTAATGAGTTTACCAAGGGAGGCAGTATAGATGGAGAACGGTAGGGGACCAAGGACTGAACCTTGGGGGACACAAACAGAGAGGAGTTGGGGAGAAGAAGCAGAGCCAGAGAAAGAAACACTGAAATAGCGCTGGGAGAGGTAGGAGAGAGCAATATCTTGTATTGCGGAGGATGAGAAGAAGCTGTTGATGATCAACAGTGTCAAAAGCCACAGACAGGTCAAGGAGAATTAGGATAGTGGTGACCACGAGAATTTTGCAGTGAGTAGATCATTGGATACTTTGGTCAGTGCCGTTTCCACAGAGTGCTTAGCGCGGAAACCAGACTGAAGCGGGTCTAGCAGAGAGTTGGACTCGAGGAAGTCTGTCAATCTCACATACACAATTCTCTCAAGGATCTTGGATGCAAAAGGCAGTAGCGAGATAGGATGAAAGTTGGATGGGGAGTTAGGGTCAAGATTGGGCTTCTTTAGAATTGGGGTTACAGATGCATGTTTAAAGGGTGATGGAAATATACCAGAGGAGAGAGAGAGATTGAGAATTTTAGTGAGAGGTGGAGAAAGAGAAGAAGACAGAGTACGGATGAGATGCGAGGGAATTGGATCTAGTAGACATGTGTAATTCGTTTTGGTCCGAAATCTGACGAATTTCCGGCAATTCGAACATTCGGGTACTTCCGAATGTCCAAATTGCCGAATTGCCGAGGTCCCGAAGTTCCGGAAGTGCTGAAGTGCCAAAGTTGCCGAAGTTCCGAAGTGTCAAAGTGCCGAAGTTCAGAAGCACAGTATTGCCTAAGTACTAACATACTTACCCAGTGAAAGAAGAAGAATATTACATTGTATACAATTTTAAATAAAAAGTATACAAACATAGCCAGGATTCAGCTGTAAGCATTTGCAACACTTACAACAATCGAGTAACATACATTCATATAAAATGTAAGTTACTTAGCCTGTCAATGTAATGACAGGAATGAATAGGTAGATAACTCCCTAATTCCCACAGTATTGTCTACTAAGCGGCTGCCGAAGTGCCGAAGTCCCGAAATTCCAAAGTGCCCAAGTTGCGAATTTCCAAAGTGTCGAATTGGCGAAGTCCTGAATTGCGAAAATCCAGAATTTCCGTATTGCGAACCGAAAATTATCCCCATGCACATGCCTAGGATCTAGGGAGCAGGTGGTGGGGCGGGCGGACTGCAGCAGAGCAGAAACCTCTTCCAATGTAGCGGGTGTGAATGAACATAGAACAGCAGAGGGAGTGAAGTTAGAGGAAGTATTGTAAGGGGAAGAAGAAAGATGAGACCCAAAACATACAGTGAAAGCAACCCAGGAATTCTCGAGGACAAAGAAGTGGAATCTTCTGCAATTGCAGAGTCAATCACCTGATCTCAACCTGACCAAACCTGCATTTAACTTCCTGAAGAAAAAAACCTAAGGCAGAAAGACCCATGAACAAACAACAACTGAAGACAGCTGCAGTACTATCTGACAAAGCAACACAAAGGAGGAAACCCAGTGTTTGGCAATGCCCATAAGTTTCAGACTTCAAGCACTCATTGCCTGCAAAGGATTTATGTATGGTTGTGTTAAAATGTCCAATTACATGTGAGCCCCTGAAATAATGGGACTGTGTATTACAATGGTTGCAATTCCTAAACAATTCATACAATATTTTTGTTCAACCCCTTAAATTAAAGCTGAAAGTCTGCGCTTCGATTGCATCTCAGTTGTTTTAGTTTAAATTCATTGTGGTGGTGTACAAAGTCGAAATTAGGAAAATTGTGTCAGTGTCCAAATATATCCAGACCTAACCGTATATACTTCTACAACACTGTCAAATAATACTATCACCCACTATCTTTTATTTTTTTTTCCCCTCGACACATCTCATACGTAACAACTGAAAAAATAGCTGTGCGAGAAAATTGGGCTTTAATATAACCTTTGTCCTCACATAAAAGTTAAAGCAATTGGCTGGGTGAACCATGATTTCAATTGGTTGATATATTTTCTCCCATAGACTGAAATCAATTTTGCTTTGCTTTTCACTCTTTGGGAATAGAAAACAAAAAAATTAAACATGATGTACTAAACTGTATTCAAACTGCTCTATCTGTAAAAATGAGTTATGCCTGTAGATCAGTAAAAAGATCTGTGCTATTTACTATCACGGTTTGCTGGCTGACTTACAAAATATAACTCAGTCCTTTCAGCAAAATATTTTTCCTGCCTAGGTGAAGTGTTTTCACAGTGCCAGCAAAGAAAATGGCAGAATTACCATTCTATAGCTGTAAACAGCAAAAATCCTTTTGCAGCCATTATGCTACCGATGATGTTAGAAAAATACATGCTGGGGACCCCCACTGTACCAGGAAAACCAATCAACTCTATCCCTTTGAATATCAGATCACATGATTTCCCTTTAAGTGCAAAGAGACAGCTATGTTTTAGAATCCACGATAAAACAAATCTGTAAGGCACGTTACTGTCTTGATAAAAGCATGCCTGGGCTATTCTGCTAAATTACATTCTTGTTGATTCCTCTTGATAAAAAAAAAAAACACTGCTCTAAAATATCATAATGTGTTATAACCAGAGGGAGAATAGTGGCTGACATTTTGAGGAAGTGATGAACACTAAACTAAGGGGATTGTATTGAATGAACAACAAAAAAGGTGTATTGCAATTGTCTGGTCCCTGTCGACTAACCAAGTGATCTTTTCAGATGATATGTATATATATTGAAAATGCTTTCTGAAATTACATGATATATTATACATCAATCATTTTGAAATATTCCCAGTTAGCATATAGTATGCTTTTCAAATTTGTGTAAATCAACATATGCTTTCATTCCTAATGTTTTGTTACGTGCTTGTTTTTTTCTGCTTCATTTCCTAATTATATAAAAATATCCCTGTTTATGGTCACCATAGTGAAATAAGTCTAACCTTCTCTAACACTTTTCACACCCTGTCCTGGATGATAGAATGAGCATTGCTTAACCCCTTAAGGACCAAACTTCTGGAATAAAAGGGAATCATGACATGTCAAACATGTCATGTGTCCTTAAGGGGTTAAAGGAACACTATAGGGTCAGGAAAAGAGCAGAGCATGGAGATGCTGAACTGACCCAGGAAGCACCTTTTAGTGGCTGTCTGAGTGACTGCCACTGGAGGTGTCCCTAGGCAGCAATGCATATCTGTATTCCTAACGCTACAGTTTCCAAGTAATTTCTTAGTTTAAGACCCCCCCCCCCAGTGTTCATTTGAAATGAACTAAAATGAAATAAAATAAATTACTTACTTTCTCTCCAGCATGGAGTCTCCCTCAACTGCATCTTGTGGAGTCCAGTCCTCGATGCATCAGGGCTGTTTTGGCAGCATGAGGGGGACCTACACAATATTAGGCAGGTAGTCTTAATGTTGTGGTTGATCAGTATATATATTATATATATTATAAGTGTGATCTATAAACACATCTGACCTTCAAAAACATATATTAAGGAGCAATGGTGCTAAAATGCAGTATAAAAACCAACAGCTGCTAAAAATAAAAAACCCCACCCAAGTGTCATGTCAAGTTAACACTTAATACATACGTAAAACCAGGATAAGAGCAAGGTGATTGCGTACATGATTATGTAAGGTACTTCACAGCAAACAATGGCAGTATAAAACCTATATGGTATAAACATAGAAAGCCATCATAGTGTAAAATGTATAAAAACCTTGTATAAAAAAACAGAGTAATTTGGAACAGTCACATATTTTAGAGCCCATAAAAGTCCATAAAATCTCAACTTGATGCAGCATACAGGGCTTCAATGCCAGGTCCCCCAAAGAGCAGCTGTATTCCTCTGTTTAGAAGATAAGGAACCAAAATTGTATAAACAGACTTTTGTCACATAAATAAAACCACAACAAAATAAAACCACTTAGTACAACGCATTTCGACCACAGCTAGGGTCTTCCTCAGGTGTATCACTGACTTTATATGTCTATTCTTGCTTGCCGTTATCTTCCTATGAAACTTCTTCATTTTCATGAGGTCTTCGTCAATAAATGGTACACACACAAAAAAAAGAAAAAGAAAAAAATAATTTAAAATAAATGCTCTAGGTTTTCAATTGAGCCCATGGTGCAGGATAGGAGAGATCTTTAAACACGTTATTCTTGTACACTTCATGTAACCAATATAGACATTTTCAAATGTTCTCTCCATAGGTACTTTCTGTAGTCGCCCAACAGATTCAAACGATTCAAAGGGCAATATCGGAACAGGCAGAAACATTTATGTTTGAGGGCACTGAAATACGCTTGGACTCATCATGTACAGTATTTATCACCATGAATCCTGGATACGCAGGAAGAGCTGAACTTCCAGATAACTTGAAGGTAACATATTGTAAAACCAATCAAGCAAACATCCAGATAAATCAATATGTTAATAAAACCCACTGGCAACATGTGCAGAAGCTGACTGAAGCATAAACGGTTTAACTTCACAGCACATTTTTCAAAGTTTCATGCAATTTACATGCAAAAATGTTACACGAAACAGTAGTTAAAATCATGTTCTTAATTATAAAGACAAGAAATTTGGACAAATGTTTTAATTGTCTCAATTAACAAAACAAAACAAAATATATACAATGCATAACATCATTTTATGGAAAGTATAGACAAAAGACAAATTCTTCAGACACCAATATTTCATTTTACACTTGGAGCAGAACCCACCACAAAAATACCTACATGGTGGCTGAAAGGTGTTGTTTTTGTCTTTTGTTGTTCTTCTGTTTCTGTTTGTAAATATTTTGCATATAGCAGTCTTTGTTAACATATTCCCAAATAACATAGAAAATTGATTTCATGCACTATGCAAATCTACATATAACATAAACCTGATCTGTTTATGAGATAAACATTTAAAAATGTTCTAATTTTGGAACAATTGTGTGTCATTAATCCTAAATTAAAATATCACCATATTAGCAGCTCCCTTGTGATTATGTTCTCCTTCTGCGGCTAGTTTTTTCAAGTCATCTAAAGACTGTTCCCTCTAGACCCAGAACTAAGCTTCTCTTCATTAGAACCCAGTTTTCAATTTAAATTTTAATTAGAACAGACAACCAGAATACTTACAATTCTGTTTAATTTCCATATCTTGCTAATCAGCAGTAGGTGAATTTCCTATTTTTATACAAGAGATTAAGTTTTATCCACCAGAGATTTACAGCTTATAATATTTATATGCACTATCTTATATGTTTAGGAAAGGTACTGACTGCCTATGTTCTCATTAATGTAATAGGGAAAATTAAAAAAACAAATTATATATATTTAGTGCCTACAGGTCAAAAGAAATATAAAATATTTTCTCCTTTGTACAATTAAAACTAGAAGCCATTTTGCCAGACTTGGCGGTCGAATTAATATTTAATTTAATACAACCTTCCACCTATTCACCCGTGTATGGTGGTAATAACACAATTAACTTAACTTTGAATACACAGCTTCCGTTCAGTTACCTCCCAATATGGTAGGCAATACCAGGATATAAACAAAATACAAAATGTAGGGATCCAGCTGATATCACTAAAACAGGTAAATAAAACAAAACATAATATAATACTGTTATAACCTCTAATAGCAAGACACTTAACGGTTGCACTCACAAATTTGATGTGATAAGAAAGCCTTCAAGTTGCCTCCCCTGTGGTATGGGGATATAGCCCACTCCTGGTGGTGATCCAAATCTGGAAGCCAGGAATTTCAGGAACTCCAAGTATGTATTAAGGTACAACATTATTTATTGGCATAGATTAAAAACAAATACATTAAAAACATTTTTTTTTAAACTGCCCTACGCGTTTCGTGGAGAACTTCCTCAGGGACTAATATTTCAAATTTATATAATAAAATCAAACTATGCCCAATAAAGTCTGATACCTCCCTCCCAAGATTTCCTTTAAATATGGTAAGTTGCAGAAGTCCTAGATGTCCCGATGTATTTTACTTTTGTGTGTATTTTACTTTTTTCTATAAAAGTCTCTGGTTATAAAAATATTTTTTTCTCACATGTTGTTAATTATAAGTTGAGTTTATTTAAAAATGAAACGTATACATTATCATAGCAACATAGTATCAACTAGAATATTTTAATTTCAGAGACTTTGATAAATGTAAAAAGCCTTTATCCGAGCCACCAAAAGTCAGTGGTAAACGTTTCAAACATTTACAGATTCATTTGTTGAGCTGTAAGTAACAGACCAGAATAAACTAATATGTTGTGGTTTGCTCACTTATGACTTTAGTTTGTTAAGTGGAAGGTAAAATGATATACATAAATATTTAAGAAAGCATTTCTTGATTTAATACTGAACCCTTTTACAGACTTCATATAGATTAATCTTTAAACATGTATTAATATAAAAAATAATACAATATATATATATATATATATATATATATATTTTTTTTTTTAACATAACTAATTAAACATCCATTGCTATAGTGACAATAGATTGGTCTAACAAGTAAATGACAGAAAAACAACATAAGTGAACAGAGGATCGGGAAATAAGATCTTTATATATACTCATAATATACACATAATACACATAATTAAAAAAACAAAACAAAACCATAACAGCATGACTCATGTTGTTTTTCCCAATTGCAAGCTTGAGAAAAGTGGAGCAAGCATTGGATGCTAAGTAAATGTGCCCAAGCTGTGCCCAGATACTGCCTCGCTACTTAACCCTGTTATTTTGGGTTTCACTAAGCATTTCAGAATGCTACACTGCGTAAAACTTAATAGAATGTAGGCTCGATTCCTGCAGTTCTCATGTAGAACTGTAGATTACATCATTTAGTATATTCAGAGGTGAGCAAAAAAGCAAGTGTGACTGATCTAATATCACGCTGTGTTTTACAGAAAGGAGTTGTTTAGGGAGATAAAATGCACACGTCTTTCAAGTTTTTTTTGTTCCTTAGCATCCAAGTAGCTATGGAATTATTTGATCTCACCAAGTTAGAAATGAACAGACTTAACTACTTTATCTTGTGAAATAAAGTTTATTAAGCCTGTTAAACCTGCTGATAATATAAAATAGAAGTCCAATAAACAAGCGCTGGATATATGCATGATGATACAGGGACACAGCAGCCTAGAAATGACACCCCTGTTTTTAATGCATTGTGAGTCTGCAAAGTTTAGAAGGAAGCAACTCAAGAACTGTCAGCCACGTTTTCACTAATGAATGGGAATACTAGAAAATATATGCTAAATTGCAAAATATCAAATTGCCTTTCGGACCACTCTGATTGAGGTTGCATTGCATGGGGAACCCCTTATATATGCTTTTCCCACGCGTTGCAAGCTCAGTCTGCACGGAGCCCTCGATGGACCAACACAGATTAATATTTTTGGCCTTGCGTTTTTTTTTTTCCATCTGTAGTTTTTGCGATCTGGTTTTAATTTTTTATTTAAATAGTAGTGTTGGGACATTATGGATTTTATTTGGCCTTTTTGTGGGCTGAAGAAAAAAGGATCAAAGAAGATAGAAATCATCTGATGGTAAGTAACATTTTTATTATTTTAATAGTCCCTACTACTACTGTTAGGGTGAGGGGGTAAACAGCTTTTATTTATGGGGTGACTAGGAGCTTAGGAACTTAGTCACCTGTGGGAATGGAAATAATTTTTGGGTGGTGCACAATGGCATGTCTAACCTCTCAGTATATATGACTAGAGCCCCCACCTGTCGCCCCTGGTTGAGAGCAAGAGGAGACATTATGTTCCACAGTTATCAATATTGGAACCCCATGGGTGGTGGCTGGGGGTACAACTGGTCCCCCCATTATTAATATTAGAGTTCCTTTGCACTGCTGAAGGATTAGGCCTGAGGGGAGACTAATCTATTAATATTACAGCCCCCACCTACTGACCTTGAGTGGGGGCTAGGGGAAAATTAGGTTCCCCGTTATCAATATTATAGCCCCAACTGACCGCCCATCAGTGTGGACTGGGAATGATGACACTTGATCCCTCCCATTTATTAATATAAGAATCCTCACCCATTGCCCAGTGAGGGGCTGGGCAGGTTATTATGCCCCCCCGGTTTATTGATTAGAGCTCCCACCTGCTGACTATGCGTGGTGCTCTTGTGCAGCATGGTGAGTGAGGTCATGGGGTAGATATAAAACCTCACTAATGTAGGGTTCATATTGACCTCCACAAACTTTTATTTCATTTCTTTTTTTAACTGGGCTAGTCACTCCTCACTCACCAGCAATGTGTAAGAGATTAAAAACGTAATCATTTCAACTGAATTTCATTTCTCACATGATTATGCAAATTAAATTTGGGCAATCCAAAGCAGAACATGGCTGAACTTCAGCTCACCTGAATACTGCCAAATGTTTCCACCATGCACAAATCTACTGCTATTCCCACTATCCTCAGTCAGATACTACCAATAGTGAAGATGGTGGTGGTGGAGGTGTCATCTGTCCTTATGCTGTATAGCAGACATGCCCCTACTTGTGACATGCTCCCACTTGCCCCCACCAGGAATGGCACTCTGATTCACCAATCAAAACAAGTATGTGTTGTGCGAGTCCCTTGTTCTGAAACTCTGGCATTTGGCCAAAGATCGGAATTTCAACTGATCGTCACATTACGATTTATTTAAATGAATTGCAGTTTGGAACAAAACAAATCTCCAAGACTACATATCACTCTTGAGAACTAAACAGTGAGTTGTGTTACCCAAGGACCTACTTTTCAAACCTACCCTCACTAACACTAACAAATGGAGTTTGAAAAAGCAGGAATGGATATTTTTTATCAACATGTTTTGTTTTTTTAATCAACATTTTTGCAAGTCACTTCTAAAGTTGCTGTTTGCTATATAAATCAAACAATGCCTCCTCAAATTAGACAGTAGTTCAGTTTTACAGAGCTTTAGACTTGTCATTGAGCATATGTTCAGCTTGTTAAGATTAGTCCCACCTCAAACAAACTCAATCTCGGAAGTATTTACCTATAAGTTTAATGTGACCCGAGACTTCTTGACACAAGGCTAATTTATCAATTTCAATTTAGTTTTTCTATTGCCCAGCTTCATCAGTATAAAAAGAAAAAAAAATCATAATATATAAAAAAATCTGTTTTATTGCAAGTAGATTGTTAAATTAAATGATTTATTGCAGTTTGTTCAAATTGCATCTTTAATATCCATTAGGGTATTCTACACTGTCAATAATGTACTATGCAATGGTAGGGGTCAAAGGGTTCAAAACTGAATTTGTGAAGTTCTCTTCTAACTGTGTTAATGGCTTCTGGTATCTGTATGAATGGATATGCAAAAACATATTCAAGGTACGAGAATGACTTAACCAATGTACTACCCTCATATTCCAGGTTTTGTTCCGGACGGTGGCCATGATGGTTCCTGACTATGCTTTAATCGCTGAAATCTCGCTGTATTCAATGGGTTTTGTTGATGCCCGAAGTCTTGCAGCTAAAATTGTAGCTACATATAGGCTATGCTCTGAGCAGGTAAGAATGTGAAGATTGATACTTGCCTTCTGCCTTAAACGTCATTTATAATTTGTTCTTTGAGACCGAAATAAAACGTTAAAATCAAATCTATTGAAATACTTAACCCTGTGAAAATAATAATTAAAATGTACTGGTTATGCATTGCATTGATGTGTAGACAAAACAGCTTTATTTAATGTGTTAGTTAAAATTCCTATCAAATATATTTCTTAAGCTATTTTTTTTATATATATATATATAATTGATATAAATGTTAATAATAATAATAATAATATATGAAGCAAATTGCACACATGCATGTACAAATGGATATGGCAGCATGCCAAGAAAAGTATTGTGCAATATCATCATCTGTATTTTTGCTCAGATGGATATGTACGGAAGAGCTCTCATCCACAGTTACAATTTTGGGGTTAACAGTACAAGACCTGAGATAATTTGTATCTTTTAATCCATACCTTTTGTTTAGAAAGCTGCTCCTCAGAATGTTTTGTGGATAGTAGATCTACTTTAATTTAAAATAATGGTGCTTTAGAGGGGGTATAATGGCATTATACAAATATATACAGGGCCACTACAAATCATTGTCTAGAAATGTATTAATAAACAGGACTATACATAGGACACAATGTCACTCATTTAGATTGGAAGAAAGGAGATTTAGTCGAAGGGAAAGGAACGTTGTTGTTTTTTACAGTAAGAGGAATAAGAATGTGGAATTATGTGCATGAAGAGGAGTTTTTATTAGAGTCTGTACAGATGGCTAAACAGCAACTGGATGCATACTGGTAAAAACATAATATTGAGAGATATCATTTTTAATTTGTGTGGTAATAGCTTCGTGATCAAAGGATACATCTAACTTCCATTTTGGGGTCAAGCGGGAATTCAAACTGGGTTTTTTTTTTGCCTTCTTATGGATCAACATCAAACAGAGGTGAGAGAGGCTGAACTTGATGGACACATGTCTCTTTTCGGCCTATGTAACTTTATACCTTAATATCACATATTTTCCCAATATTCATACTTGTATACTCTTTACAATTATGTGTTTCTAGGGGTAACACTAAACAAGATCCTTCCATAACAAAAGTTATCCAAACTTAGGATATCAATCTCACTGTAGTTAAATACCATTGATTACAATTTTTATATGTTAAATTTTGAAATTTACTACCTTGCATATTCCAAGGCAAAATGTCTACACCAGACACAGCAGCTTTAATAGACTGCGTTTTTACAATTCTACCAGCACGCCAAGTAAAGTATGCAATTGCAAACAAACAGGTATATCAGATATGTTCATTTTCAAACCCACATTTATTCAGGACCCCTTAGCCATGACACACTGTTTCAAAACACAGCTCTAATACCAGTGCATGGGTGAGGATCTGAAAAGATCAACGGTTATACATAAGCTGTAGAGCTCTACTTGTGTCCAGTGGATAGAGTCTGTATGTAGTCAGGCAGTACTACTTCAGTGGTGATAAGTCTATTTTCAGAATTTTTTAAAATATGGTCTTTCAGAGCAGATGTGTTCAATTTAAATTTTAGCCTTGGATATGCATGGAATAAATGTGTTTCCGAATTTACTTACTGTAACTTAACCGTTTAGTCACATTTTGATATCCCCACTACCTTAATAATACTTAGTTTTTTATATAGCATAAACAGCATATGCAACTCTTGAGACAGTTTAATAAACATGCACCAACATGTAAAGAGAGAGTTCTGTACAAACTGAAAGTACAAACATTTTTAATGGGGAAAAAAACCCTAGGTGAGATAGCCAATTAAAACAAAAAGTATTCTTGTTTTGTTTTTCTCTTCTAAAATCATACCATTTCATTTGGGGAAAAAATGCCTGGTCTAGTCTCTTGATAAAATGCTTCTGCTGATAAGGGCATTATAACCTTACAGCTGATAGCTTTGCATACTACTTTACCAACAAGATTTAACAGCTAAGGAAGGAATTCTCACTACCTTGCCCCTCTCATTCTCAACTACACCTAGGTCATGCCTTTCCTATCCTTCAGCTTTTCTCCCAGGCTACTGAACAAGAAGTGGCTGCGCTTCTCCTTTCCTCTTGACCCACCACTTGCCCGCTTGATCCTGTCCCATCTCACCTTATCAGATCTCTCTCCTCTTGTCTTGTGCCTTCCTTAACACACATCTTCAACTGCTCTCTCTCTTCTAATGTTGTCCCTGCTGCACTTAGACATGTTACTGTAGTACCTATCTTTTAAAAAACATCTTTTGACCCATCCTCCCCTTCTAACTATCGTACCATATCCCTGCTCCCTTTTTCCTCAAAGCTTTTGGAAAGACTGATCTTTACCCGTCTGACTCACTCAAATGCAGCTATTCAAACTGTGGAAGCAATCACATTCAATTTCAACAAACAAAAAAATCAAGATAAGACCAAAACATGTAGTGGGCAGCGCAATTACCTAAAAAGGTGATCTCACAATACATTCTGTCCCAATAATGTAATTGTGAGACAAAAATATTGGTGTTCGCAAGGGTGTGCGATGTCAGTTCCGGTTCCGGTCCCGGTCCGGGGCATGATGCGTTCCAGCAGCTATTATATGTGTTCCACCGGCCGATTTCCATTCCAGCTGCCATTTTGTTAATTCCACTGACGTTATATATTTCCTGGATTAAAGGGATTCTATAGTGCCAGGAAAACAAACCGTTTTTCTGGAACTGTAGAATCCTACAGTGCCCCCTCCCTTGCACCTCAACTCCCGCGTGGCTGAAGGGGTTAAAACTCCTTTGGTCACTCACCTGAACCTAGCGCCGATGTCCCTTGGAGCTAAGTAAAGCTCCGCCCACGCTCCACCTTGGCAACATCAGCAGGCGGGGAAGATCTAATGTGCATGCATGGCAATGACCATGCTCACATTAGGATTTCCACATAGTAAACCATTATTCAATCCTATGGGGAAAATCTGATGCTGGAGGTCCTCATACATAGTGTGAGGACGTTCAGTGTCAGATAACAGACCAAAGGTCCGTTTCCATTCCGGAAGTCCCTCTAGTGGCTGTCTGGTAGACAGCCACTGAGAGCAGACTTAGAGCTGCAATGTAAACATTAGGTGCAAAAGGGACACTAGAGGAGGAGTTAACCTTGCAAGGTAATTATTGCAGTTTCTTAGGTTAATTACCTTGCAGGGTTAAGGGACATGGGACATTGCACTCAGACCACTCCAATGAGCTGAAGTGGTCTGGGTATCTACAGTGTCCCTTTAAGTGCAATCTTCTTTGCGAATCATTGTAAATCTCATCCCGCTATTTCCATTCCTTGGGGCTCCTTGTTAACTTACCCTATTGGGTATATTTCAGTACTATAGCTTCCATCAGAGTCCAAGCAGGCCATTCAAGAGTCCATTACATTTAAAGGCACTGTGTACATATACAAAATATTAAATAAAAAGAAGGAAAAATCATTATAACAACCATGTATATCTAAAAATGTAATGTAAATATATTAAAAATATATATATATAAATTGCATTTAAATTAAAAAAATATTTAGTATACAAAAGTGTCTTTCCTAAATATAATAGCAAATGTCAAAGAGAGGGTTTCTAAATGAAGGATTCATTCCATATCTATTTTATTTAGGATCTTAAGAAAGTCCCCCCTCTTCGTGGTTTAGCCACTCTCTGTATACCAATAAAATTCCAATCATTTAAAATCACAATTGTGGGCTTTTGCAAAATGAGGAGATACTGAATATGTTAAAACCTTATTTTGGATATTCCTTAGATATTCAAGACCACATTCACATGTTAAAAGATAAATTACATTCTTTGTAATATAAGTGATAAAATCATTAATAAAATACTTCCTATTCGTGCCATTTTAGATCAAATATTTAGTTTTTTTAGAGATAATATTGGTGGTTTTAAATGCCTTGCATTGCCCACAATTATGAAACCCTTTTAATTTAGTACCAGAAATATTTGCAGCAACCATTTTATTTTTTGGGACACAACTTTTTGTAAAAATATTCTTAAAATGTCTTGCTCCTCTGTAAACAACCCTTGGTTTGTCACCTATACACGTGCAGCGCAATGACCTAAAAACGTGATCCCACAATACACACTGTCCCAGTAATGTAATTGTGAGATAAAAATAAAATAAATGACAGACACCTAGAGAGGTAATGTATGTAGATTATCCCTGCAACATAGACAAGAGAATACATTCTCATAAGGTAATATAGTAGTAACTGCAGACTGTGCTAAGAGGCCTCTCAGACAGTCGATCACCTAATAGCAGAATGCAAGATGTTAGCAGGAACAGCATATATGGAGAAACACAACCAAGTTGATGGGATTGTGTACAAAAACATCTACACATAATATGGATTGGACCTGCCTATGCCCAGATGGGAGATACCACAAAGGGTAGTTGGGAATGATAGGGCTAAGATTCTGTGGGACTTCAAGAACCAGACAGACAAGCAGGTGCTGGACAACTAACCCAACATCGTGGTGGTAGATAAGGAACGGAAGACTTCAGTCGTGGTGGATGTGGCAATACCCAGTGACTATAACATCAGGAAGAAGGGGGCATGAAAAGGTGGAGAAATGCCAAGGATTGAAAGAAGAGCTAAATGGATGTGGAAAGTGAAGACAGTAGTAATCCCAGTTGTGATAGGAGCACACAGGGCTGTGACTCCCAAGTTGGGAGAGTGGCTTCAACAGATTCCAGATGGGACATCTGAGATCGCTGTCCAGAAGAGTGCAGTTCTAGGAACAGCTAAGATTCTGTACGGAACCTTCAGACTCCCAGACCTCTGGTAGAGGACCCGAGAATGATGAGTAAACATACCACCCAGGAGGGGTGAGAAAATCAATTTGATTATATATAAAATCAACAAAACAGGAATGCAATGGCACTCCCTCCTAGATACAAAATTCCATATACAATGCCTGGGTGCTCTCATTTAAGCAATATATAATTCCACAAAGTCAAGAATATTGGCACTCACTCGCAAAAATTGTCTTTGTTTCTTTATTTCTTTATGTGACGATAAACTTTTTAAATTTGAAATGCCCTCTATCATTGTGTGACTAAAGAAGATCTAAATTAAAGGAGGTCCAGACTTACCACCAAGGTGTGACTAAGCAAAGAATGGGCTGACCATTAGGTAGAGCAAGCAAAAGTCAGATGAATGGCATCATACCCGTCACACTTGACTGCTCAAGAAGAAAGAAATATGCTAACCATCATGCTAAATACTTGGGCCAGTTTTTTCAAAAAGTATAGCTATGAAGTGCACCTTTATCATCAGGATCATTATATCACCATACTGACCTCCCTGTATATTTTACTCATACCTTGTTGCTCAGTATCTCTCTCTCGCTACCACAGAAATAATTTACAGACCCGTTCTTCTGTTCCGTTGACCTACTTATTCACACAATGAATAAAAGGTCTGTAAGGCTTCTGTGTTTATTTATAATTGAGCCTCGACTGTCACTTTTAGATTGATTAATTAGTCTAATTTCATTCCAACAATGTTTTGATAGTTTCATACATATTCATCCTATTTAAAATTAAACCATGTCACAAATGTCGTTGCTCATTTAGCTACTATTATGATCTATGGCTACTTGGGTTTTATTTTTTTTCGTTTTTTTCTTTTCTTTGTACTCTAATGCATTCTCTGGAACAGCTCTGAGATTATCAGCAAAGATTATGTTCTGCTTTAGTTTTTTTTTCTTTGCAGCCCAGCCCCCAGTACAAACACATTAGCATTGTTTCAACCTAACATTTTATCTGGTTGCTTTGTGTCCTGGCCCTTGTTTCAGGAAAATGTAAAAAGATGGATAAGGGGCTATTATTTGATAGAAAACCATTACCCTTTAGGGGGACTACATGACCTGCAGCACAAAGATTTTACATCCCAACAGATTCCATTATTCATTGCTATCTTTCTGCTGCCACTTGTCACTGTGTAACCGATGCTATGTTTGGTACTCAAAGTATTTCAAGGTTTTAAAAACTTGTGAAAGCATATATAATGCAATTTGTCTGTATTCTTGACCGTATAAAGTTGCCGAAGAGAATATTTTATTTTTAATTAATAAGAAAGAAATAGAAAACCAAGTGGTAAAGTAATGAATAATGAATATTAAGGTTTACCATTTAGGACACATTTAGTTGCATGACATTTGCACAGTCTAAAACACCATAAATTGTTAAAATTACTTTAAAAAAAAAACAAAACATATATTTTGACAGAACAATTTCAAAACCACTTTCAAACCACTCTTTTCTCTGACATTGTTGCCTCTTTTGTTTCATCTTTTTTGCCTAGTCTACACTTAACCCACCCCATTTCCCCCGACCCTTCAAAAAAATTTCTTGGCCTTATTTACCAGTTTATTCAAGTTGTTTACCTGTTTCACCAATAACATACTGCAATATTGCTATAAATTGGCTAATTTATAACCTCCTTAGATAATCATCTTCCCACTTCGTATGATGTGCATTGAAAATGACCAATAAAATTTAATTTATAAATAAAAGTTATACTTATAGTAAAAAAGCTTAAACACAAAAAAAGGGAAAAACTAGCATCTATTCAAAAATGATAACTGTGTAAGAAATTATATTAAACACTGTGCAGTCCTGAATGGGCTTATCAATCAATATGATATAGACTATTGCATCTTTTCTCCTTATCTGACATTCTAGACAACGTGTGGGTGATTTATTTGATACACTGGGGGGATTTCATTTGGTGAAAGTGTCTGTGTTATGCTACCGTGACCGTTTCATACAAAAATAAATGAGTTCTTTCTACACACAAGAAAAAAGAAAAATATACCTATTCAAACATTTTCACCAGTAACTAATCCAATTTAATGAAAATTTTAGATTTTCAATGATGAAGTTAAATCTCTCTATTCATTCATTTAATTTTTTTTTTTAATTTTTTTTTTTTATAATTTAGCTATCTTCACAGCACCACTATGATTATGGAATGAGGGCAGTAAAGTCAGTGTTAACAGCTGCTGGAAATCTAAAAGTTAAATGTCCACATGAAAAAGAGGATGTAGTAATGCTTCGATCAATTCGTGACGTCAATCTTCCAAAGGTACCATCTATTTTCAGTATCAACATGTTCTGTATTAGAAAGCTCGCAAATAGAGAAATGAGTGACAAAGAACATAAGATAGCTTTGGCATTGGTCTTTTACTGCCTAATTTTCAATCGATTGATAATTACCGGCTGGAGGGAAGATAAACTGCATGCTACAGTTTAATTGCAATATTTATGACCATGTGCTTTATTTATTTATTTCATTTTAAATGTCACCACTAACTGCAGTAAAATGTTAATCGGGATATATTTTATCATCCACAGATAGGTCCATGTGTAGAGCGCACTTTAAAAATATAAAATGTTTTTTAAACTTAAACAGTTGATATATTGTGCTGTTTCCAGTCTGTCAGTAGTCTAACTAGAAAGGCCTGTGACAAAAGACAATGATGTTTCAGGTTAAAGGAACCTGCATAGCTTTTCTATTCACATAGAAACATTATTCGACTCAAATGTTGAACAAATTAAAGGGACACTATAGACCCCTAAACAACTTCAGCATAATGAAGCAGTATTAGTGTATAGATCATGCCTGTCCAGTCTCACTGCTTTATTTTCTGCCATTTAGGAGGTTAAATCACTATGTTTATACAGCCCTAATCATACCTTCTTGCATGTGACTTGCACAGCCTCCCTAAACACTTCCTGTAAAGTGACATCTAATGTTTAGACTCCCTTTATTACAAATTCTGTTGATTTTAGAATTTCTTAGCTCCGGCACTGTTAATAGCTTTCTGGGCCTTGCAATAGCCTCCTGTATGTGATTAAAGTTCAATTTAAAGACCAGGAGATTTTAAACAACTTTTAAAGTACGTTAAAGAAAGACTTTAGTGTCAGGAATACAAATGTGTATTCCTAAAACTATAGGTCTAAATAGTTGCCCCCCTTACCTCTGGCTAAAAGTTGATTTACTCACCTTTTTCCAGCACTGTGGGTTTAGTCACAGCTGGCCCTGCCCATGCTCCACATGCACTCTGCCCCCATGGCTGAGATCAAACTTGATGATCTCAGCCAATCTGATGCTTTTCCATTTTCAGCATCTCCTCATCAATGACTCATCTCTACTGGGAAAGTTTAGTGCAGAGTGTGGAGACGCTGAACATCAGTGCAACACTGACTGAGAAAGCACATCTAGTGGCTGTCTGAGTGACTGCCACTGGAGGTTTCGTTAGGCATCAGTGTTTCAGAAAAAAGTCAGTGTTTATGTTAAAATGTCTGTAGGGATAGGATTAAGACTCCAGAAATACTACATTAAGCTGTAGTGGTTCTGGTGACTATAGTGTCCCTTTAACATGTGATTGAAAATGAAACCATTTTTTCCATGCAGTCTATGTCAGTCACAGTCAGGGGAGCTGTGGATAGGGTTGCCTGTACATAAACAAACATGATTTAACTTCTAAATTGCAGAAAATTGAGCAGTGAGACTTCAGAAGTATTATCTATACACCAACACGGCTTCTTTAAGCTTTATGCTAGTTGTGTTGGTGACTATAGTGTCCCTTCAACTAGCTCTTTGGTAGGTCACATTCTGGTAACACATTCTGGTAGTGACAGACTTTGGTTAAAAAGCCAGAAAGTCTTGGTTGGAGAACCGTAGAACCAGGAAGTTCACAGAGAATTCAAGCGATACACATGTTTGGAATGCAAAAATGTATAGAAGACATGTAAATAATAAATCAAAACATGGGGAATATTAATATGTCTTTAGCCTGACAGTAAAAAGGCATTTTGCACAGTCTGTTGCTCTTCATAATTCATTTTCTGCACTTTCAGAGTGTAATGGTGTTGTGGAGAGAGGCACTGAGGCTAGTGGTGTTGTGGAGAGAGGCACTGAGGCCAGTGGTGTTGTGGAGAGAGGCACTGAGGCCAGTGGTGTTGTGGAGAGAGGCACTGAGGCTAGTGGTGTTGTGGAGAGAGGCACTAAGACTAGTGGTGTTGTAGAGAGAGGCACTGAGGCTAGTGGTGTTGTGGAGAGAGGCACTGAGGCTAGTGGTGTTGTGGAGACCGGCTTGGAGACTATGGTGAGGCCTAATAGAAAGCAGTTGTTGTTGGGTGATTCCATTATAAGAGGTGTGGGGATGGACAATGGTGGTCTTGTGAGGTGTCTTCCCGGAGCTACTGCTCACAGAGACAGGAGACGTATCTGTAATATTGTTAAGCAAGCAAAGCAGGAAGGGGAATTGGATGTACTTGTCCATCTAGGGACAAATGACTTGGCTTGCAATGAGTTTTCAGAGGTTAAGGAAGTTTTTAGTGTTTTTGCCAATGATATATGGCAGGTTGCTTCCACACTGTCATTCTCTGAAGTTCTGCCTGTGCATAACACTCAGAACGACAGGCGGATGCGTATTAGGGACTTTAATTTGTGGCTTGGTGAATGGTGTCGGGATCAAGGATTTGGCTTTATTTCTCATGGTAGCTCTGTTTGGAATGGAGATAAGCTGTACAAAAAGATGGTTTGCATCTTTCTCAAAAGGGAACAAATGTTCTCAGTGAGCAGTTCAGAGGTTTTGCTAGGATGTATTTAAACTAGGAGGGGGGGGCAAAAGGGTGATAAAACATCAATCCAATTGTCCCCCAAAACAAGGACAGAAGGTGCCTGTAACAAGTGTGTTAAAAAATGATAAGCTTAGAGTCATGTCTACAAATGCTCGCAGTTTAGGGAATAAGATCCATGAACTTGTGGCAATTATGGCAACTGATAGTGTAGATTTAGTCGCTGTTACTGAGACATGGTACAATGAGAAACATGACTGGGACATAGCAATACCAGGGTACTCTTTATATAGGAAAGATAGGGAAGGCAAGAAAGGGGGAGGGGTGGCCTTGTATGTGAAGGATAGCATAAAATCTAGCCTAATAAAATTTAGTGAGGCAAACAGAGTCCGTTTGGGCTACGTTAGAATTTGGTAATCACACAGTAACTCGTGTAGGTGTGATTTATAGGCCCCCAGGACAAATTGAAGAGTTAGATAATCTACTAGTTGAGGAAATAGCTAAAATGACAATGAGGGGGGAAGTTATCATCATGGGTGACTTTAATCTTCCTGATGTAAATTGGAAAACAAAATTAGCTACTTGTGCCAGGAGCACACATATTCTAAACTCCCTACTAGGATTGTCTCTAAAACAAGTTGTTGAGGAGCCAACTCGTAAAGAGGCCATACTAGATTTAGTGTTAACAAATGGAGATTTGGTATCAGATATTACTGTAGGTGAAAGTTTAGAATCCAGTGATCATCAGTCAGTGTGGTTTAATATAAGAACAGTGACTGAGTCACACCACACAAAAACAAAAGTTTTAGACTTTAGAAAAACAGACTTTTCTAAAATTAGAATATGGGTAGAGGAGTCATTATCAGACTGGAGCAATTTAAATGGAGTCCAAGAAAAATGGGATTATTTAAAAGTTGCACTATTGAAGGCAACAGAAAATTGCATTAGGCTTGTCAGTAAAAGCAAAAAATTCAAGAAACCACTGTGGTACTCCGCAGATGTGGCCAAAATAGTTAAAAACAAAAAGTTAGCATTTAGGAATTATAAAAAAACCCAGAGTGAGGGAGACAAAATGATCTATAAGATTAGGCAGAAAGAGGCTAAGCAAGTTATAAGAGCTTCCAAATCACACACAGAAGAGAAAATAGCACAGTCAGTAAAAAAAGGGGATAAAACATTTTTTAGATACATAAATGAGAAAAGAAAAGTAAAACAAGGATTAGTTAGATTAAAAACAAGAAGGAAGGTATGTAGAAGAGGATAAAGGTCTAGCTGACTGCCTCAATGAATATTTTTGTTCTGTATTTACAGATGAAAATGAAGGAAAGGGACCTCAGTTGAGAAAAAAGGATAAATGAGTCATTTATTACACGTGAGTTTACAGAGGAAGAGGTTCTATTTCAACTGTCAAAAGTAAAAGACAAATAAGTCAATGGGACCTGATGGAATACACCCAAAGCTATTAAAAGAGCTTAGTGGTGTACTAGCAAAACCATTAACAGATTTATTTAACCAATCATTGTTAACAGGAGTAGTCCCAGAAGATTGGAAGTTAGCGAATGTTGTGCCCATTTACAAGAAAGGTAATAGGGAGGAGTCGGGCAACTATAGGCCAGTAAGCCTTACTTCAGTAGTGGGAAAGTGATGGAAACCATGTTAAAGGATAGGATTGATGAACATCTAAAACACATGGATTTCAAGATCAGAGACAACATGGGTTTACTTCAGGGAGATCATGCCAAACTAATCTTATTGATTTTTTTGATTGGGTAACTAAAATTATAGATCAGGGTGGTGCAGTAGACATTGCTTACCTAGATTTCAGTAAGGCTTTTGACACTGTTGCACATAGAAGGCTTATCAATAAACTGCAATCTTTAAGTTTGGATTCCAATATTGTTGAATGGGTAAGGCAGTGGCTGAGTGACAGGCAACAGAGGGTTGTAGTTAATGGAATATATTCGAAGCTTGGACTTGTCACCAGTGGGGTACCTCAGGGATCTGTACTTGGACCCATTCTCTTTAATATTTTTATTAGTGATATTGCAGAAGGTCTTGATGGTAAGGTATGTCTTTTTGCTGATGATACTAAGATATATAACAGGGTTGATGTTCCAGGAGGGATAAGCCAAATGACAAATGATTTAGGTAAACTAGAAAAATGGTCAGAATTGTGGCAACTGACATTTAATGTGGATAAGTGCAAGATAATGCACCTTGGACGTAAAAACCCAAGGGCAGAGTACAGAATATTTTATAGAGTTCTAACCTCAACATATGAGGAAAGGGATTTAGGGGTGATTATTTCTGATGACTTAAAGGTAGGCAGACAATGTAATAGAGCAGCAGGAAATGCTAGCAGAATGCTTGGTTGTATAGGGAGAGGTATTAGCAGTAGAAGAGGGAAGTGCTCATGCCATTGTACAGAACACTGGTGAGACCTCACTTGGAGTATTGTACACAGTACTGGAGACCGTATCTTCAGAAGGATATTGATACCTTAGAGGGTTCAGAGAAGGGCTACTAAACTGGTTCATGGATTGCGGGATAAAACTTACCAGGAAAGGTTAAGGATCTTAACATGTATAGCTTGGAGGAAAGACGAGACGGGGGGATATGATAGAAACATTTAAATATATAAAGGGAATCAACACAGTAAAGGAGGAG